CGTCCTGGGCGGCGTTCCTCCTTCTCGGGCCTCCTGCAGACTTCTCCTCGCCGCGGCTGGATCCGACGACGTGGGCCCCCCCCCCCCCCGGATTTATCGATGCACGACCTGGTCGAGGCAAAAACTCGGGAGAGTGCCGCGCGGGAAAGAGCCGAGCCAGGTCCGCGCCAAAGGCTATGTTGCTCTCATTGTGCTTAAGGACCGGATCCCAAAACTAACTTCGAGTACCTGAAACATGCCGAAACAATGTCGGACGAGTGTCGCCTCCCAGGACCCAACGCGTGGAATCCCTCAAAATGTGGTACTTTCTTGGTGCTCGAAATTCTGTTTGATGATCAAGGCTAAAATAGGTTGGATCATCACAAGCCAGAAAAGGGGGAGGGAACAGGTCCCCCACCCCCCGGCGCGCCCCGCGAAGCAGGCGCTAGCCTGCACGACGCGAGGGTCGTCCTTCCGTTGCGCCCCTCGCGCGCGCGGGGCGATCGCGCCTGCGAGCCCTGTGCGGCAGCGGTCCTGCACATGCCTGCACATGCCCCGAAGGGCGGGAATTGTGGGGGGCCGGCAACCAATCTCGTTTCTGCCGCGCTCGCTCGCCAACGCGCTCGATCCGCGGGAGGGGTCGCCGCGCTCTCTCAGGGGGGCGCTGCTCGCGCAGTGCCCCCCGCCCCGCCGTCTGCCCCCGATGTCCGGGCCCAACCCAGCGCCCCCCCGTCTCATCGATGCGCTGCCCGATTGCGGCAGTAGCTTGGCGGGCGAAGATTTCGACCGTCGCCTCATGGCCCTGGAAGCTGCTGCGATCGACGCCAGGGCGCTCTTCGGAGGCCAGGGCGAGGAATTTCTCAATGTTCACCGCGTGCATGTGGAACGCGCGCGCCGACCAGCGCCGCGGTGCGCGTCCCTGGCGCCGCGGCCCGCGGTCGGGGCCGAGGCGGTTCGCGCCGCAGCCCCTGGCAGGCCTGCGCGGCCGGCGCGGCTCCAGCAGTGCCCGACTGTTCGCGTCGGCGCGGAAGTCGGCTGACCAGCGCCCAGCCTCGTCTGCGCGCTCGACGCCCCCGCCCTCGCCCCCGCCCTCCCCCGCGCCCTCGGGAGAAACACTTCACTTGGAAACTTACAAAGGCTACCGGCCAGGGTGGCTCGACTGCACTTCTGCTCTAGAACTCAAGATTCAACGACAACAACAACAACCAGCAACAACAACAAGCGCAACAAACACAACATCAACTACACGCACAACAACAATCACAACAATGCCAACACGATGACGACAACAACAACAATCACAACAACACCACCACCAACAACAACGTCACCACCAACGGCAAGACCGACACCGCCAACAACACCAGCAACAACACTAACACCAACAACAAAAAGGACAACCATGACAACAACAACAACAACAACAATTACTAGCACGTGGGGACACTCCGTTCTCACCAGTGCCAGGGTTTTCATAGGAGGCGGGCAATACCCCCACTTTGTGGGGGGGCCGGTTCAAGCTCTACCAAATTTCCAAACGACTCTTCGCCACCACCCACACCCAGCTTCCCGCCCTATGACGTTCGGACACTTCACTTCGTGGCATGCGGACGACCGTGGCTACTATTCAGGGCCCCGCGGCCGACGACGACGGCGTGCGCGCGCGAAGAAAAAACGAATGTGTCCCGCATGGTATTATTTGACAGGGATGATGGCCCTGGCAGGTGCGCAACCGTTGTTGCAGAAGTTCGAAAAAGTTGCTCGCAAAAGCCCGTTTGACAGAAATGTTTAAAAAGTGTTGGGTTTCCTACGAATCCGCAAGAGCGCGCGGGATGAAATTTTGACATTTTTTTTTTTTGAAAAACCATTGGTTTTTTTTATGTTTTTATGTTAAAATCGCTACGAACACTAAGGTTTTGGAAGGATTTCGTCTTGCGCGCGCGAATGTCCACTTTACCTTATTTTTTGCAAGGGATTCTTGAAATTTGATTATATTAGAACAAGAAATGTCATTTTATAGTGTTTTTTGCAAGGGAAAGCGGATTACAACAAAACAACCGGATCTGGATCACATCGTTTTACCTGAGGCTTCCTCACGAAAATGATGAAAATGTGGCTGCGGCCTAGGCGCGGCGGGGGGGCGTGCACCAGGGGGCCCAACAATAATTATTCTTTAGAATTAATAATGTTCAACAACAACAACAACAATTACTAGCACGTGGGGACACTCCGTTCTCACCAGTGCCAGGGTTTTCATAGGAGGCGGGCAATACCCCCACTTTGTGGGGGGGCCGGTTCAAGCTCTACCAAATTTCCAAACGACTCTTCGCCACCACCCACACCCAGCTTCCCGCCCTATGACGTTCGGACACTTCACTTCGTGGCATGCGGACGACCGTGGCTACTATTCAGGGCCCCGCGGCCGACGACGACGGCGTGCGCGCGCGAAGAAAAAACGAATGTGTCCCGCATGGTATTATTTGACAGGGATGATGGCCCTGGCAGGTGCGCAACCGTTGTTGCAGAAGTTCGAAAAAGTTGCTCGCAAAAGCCCGTTTGACAGAAATGTTTAAAAAGTGTTGGGTTTCCTACGAATCCGCAAGAGCGCGCGGGATGAAATTTTGACATTTTTTTGTTGAAAAACCATTGGTTTTTTGATGTTTTTATGTTAAAATCGCTACGAAAACTAAGGTTTTGGAAGGATTTCGTCTTGCGCGCGCGAATGTCCACTTTACCTTATTTTTTGCAAGGGATTCTTGAAGTTTGGTTATGTTAGAACAAGAAATGTCCACTTTAGCTTATTTTTTGCAAGGGAAAACGGGCCGTAACAAAACAACCGGATCCGGACCAACCCGTTTTGCCTGAGACTTCCTCACGAAAATGATGAAAATGTGGCTGCGGCCTAGGCGCGGCGGGGGGGCCATGCACCAGGGGCCCCAACAATAATTATTCTTTAGAAGTAATAATAGTCAACAACAACAGCAACACTAGAGATAGAGATAGAGGGAACGAGAGAGGGAGAAATATAGAATCAATAACACATATATATATATATATATATTCAAAGAAACATGTAGTGATAGAGAGAGAGGCGAGACCGGGAGAGGGCAAGGCCTTGGGGAGGGGAAGCCACGAGCGAAGGGATGATCGAGGGGTAGGCAGCCCAGGTTCTCCGTGGAACCTTGCCTCCATCGCCTCTGCTCCTGCCGGTGCCTCCCGGACGTCTTAGTGGGCTCCCCCCTCGATGGATCCGCCATCAGCCATCCATACTAGGAGGTCTAAACTGGATCACTGGGAGTTGCGCCTAAGGCTGTGAGTGATGCCGGACGATCAGCACGTCAGCAAGCCCATGGATAATTCACTTTCATTGACACTGTCATGTAGCTAGAAGTATTCCCAATCCCTCCGCTCAGGCTGCCGAAGGCTGGAGCTCAGAGGCGGAGACAGAGATTGCGCCAGTGGCTGAGCAGAGATGGAGGCTAGGGAAGAGTGAGGCAGGGGAACCAGCCATCCCCCCTCCAGTGAACGGGAAGGATAGTAAAGAAGACCAGGGAAACGCAACTGAACAGATACAAAATCAAAGATAATGTTCCATATTATCATCTGGATTCTCGTTATCCCCTCCATTTCCCACATGCTCCCCGATTCACGGGAATCTGCATGGAATCTACATGTGCTTGCGTCTGTGCAAAATATTTCCCTCCTGAGATAGGGGGTCAGACCGGGGAGCGGGGGGAGTACATCCAGCTTGAGTCGGCGATACAGGGTCGATAGATCGGCGATGGCCAAGGCTACGCTAACCGCGATGTTGCTTAACGGTGATGTTGGAAACCGCACTGTATGAAATTACGAACCGCACTTTCCTACAGTTCCGATCTGCGGAAGTATCGAACGAAAACGACACAGCGAATTGTATGTAGGAAAGCACGAGCCGCGCGTTCCCACAATACCGAAATCTACATCGCCGTTTGCGCGTCTACGGGATGGACCCCCGACCACAAAACCGCACGTTCCTGGGCTGCGCGGGGGGCGCCAAGCCCCGTGTCGGTTATGCATGGGCGATCGGGGATCGGGAACCAATGCGTTCCCCCGCCATGAGCCCGTCCTCGCTTTGGCGGCACACCGGGGGGTAGGGGGAGAGGGGGGAAGGCCTCTTCGAAGGAGGTTGCGACTTAGAAGGCGCGTGCCAGCCATTCATCTGCAGACGAGGCCCTGGCCTTCCACGAAGCAGGGTGGTTCTAAGAAGCCCTCTCCCTCCCCCCCCCTCCACCCCTTGAGCGTGGCCACTAACGTTGCCCCTGATCTCCGAGCAGGGCGAATTGAGACAACAGCGGCTCGAAATCGGTCCCCAGACCCGTCCGGGCGTACAAACGCACAACTGTTAGGACGGGCATGTCTTCTTACAGGTGGGTTTTGGAGGGAAATAAGAAGTAGTTGAAAATGTTCGACAATACTCGAAGATAGTCTAAACATCGTCCTCGGACTATTTTCTAACTATTTTTGAATCTTCCCTGTAGAGGGACGCGCCCGACTTAACACCAGTGTTCCGAACAGCGCCCAGCCGTAGCGACGAGGCTGCCCCCGAAGCCACCTACCCGTCGTCTCAACGCGCCCTCTGGCGTTGTTTTTTTCGTCTGGTTTTCGAATCATATCTCGCGCCTCCGGTGGCCATTCGGGACGAGCCGGGCACCGTCGGAACGCTCTCGAGAAGGCGCAGCTGCTGGAGAGCACCCCGAGGCTGGAAAACTGCCGAGAACCGACGAAGACACTGGGAAACCCCGAACCTCGAGCAAATCCGCGTCGTCGTCGTCGTCGACGACGAAGACGACGCAAGCGTCCGAAAAACCTTCTCCATCGAACCTCGAAGTGTCGTCGGCCTGACCACCTCGCCCGTACCTGCCCCCCCTGCGCCCAGCTGGACGGCTGGGAGGCGCGCTGTGAGTGGGAGGGGCCCGAGACTGCCGGGGCCCAGGGCGGGCCAGCGGGGCGCAGAGGGCCACGCCGCGGGGGCCTGCCATTTTTCTGCCGGGGTCTGCTCTGATGGCGGTGCTCGGGACGCAGCGCAAGTGCGGGCAAGACTTGTGTCCAGATCCACTGCACCTTGGAGTGTTGGGCTCCCTTCCCCAGAAACCCGAGGCGGCCTGGATGTGGATAAAAATCTGGCCCCTAGAGGCTCGATGTTTATCCATATCCAGTGCGCCTCGGCCTTGCGGCGACCCTTCCGAGAAAGTCCAAGACGCACTGCATATGGATAGAAATAAATCCCGCGGCAAAAGGCACACGTATTGAAAAAAAGGCGAGGCGTGCCCCAAGGATCTCCATCAAGCAAGGCTCGAGCTGAACAGTGTTTTCCGTTTCCGTTGTCCCTCGCTCTGTCTTCGTTTCGCCCCTGCTGCACCACGAACCCGAATCGAAAACGGTCCACGACATCGCCATAATACCCTTTAGCTCGAGCCCTGATGCACAGAACGAGGGCGCGCTAGACTTCGGTCGGGCATGTCCCCCCTACAGACGACTTTTGCACGAAGTATACAACATTTTCAAAACACACTGAAGCATATCAACACAAGTACTAGAAAAATCGTCCCCAGACAATTTTTCACTATTATTGAACACTCCTCTTGTAGAGGGACAGGCCCGACTTAACGCTGGACCTGCTCCAGGGAGCTCTGTCGAGCGGCAGCGGCCTCCCCACCCTCTGCCCTGGACAAAGCCCCACATATCCGCCGGCAGGCTCTCTCCAGAGCGCGGCCGCAAGGGCCCCGACCCCGACCCCGTCCCCGGGGCCAGTTTCTCGTCCTGCTGCGATCGACGCGGCGGGTGCCGAGGGGTAGGGAGACGACCGGTGGATGCCAAGGTGGTGTAAATCTGGCCCAAACTAGCTCTCAGAAAGGGCTACCGGTGCCCCAAGTGGCTTACGGTGGTTAGATAATCCCGCGCTCTGGGCGGAGCCCGCGCAGCTGGGATCGCCCCCCCCCCAGGCCGCTTGGGGCCTGTGTAATGGGGCCTGTGTAACTCACTCATAAGCTAGGCTGCGCCAGATAGAACCCACCTTGGCATCCACTGACAACCCCCCTTATCCCCTCAGCGACCCCCGCGCCGATCCCGATTGGTCCATTGTTGAGGGCCCTGGGGCCCGATAACGGGACCCGGAGGCCGAGATCGGGGAAGAAAGTCTGTATGGAAAACACATATAAATGGATCGGCGGACATCTGGGGAGGCGGGAGCCTGGCCGGCCGTGATGCGAGCGCAGGCTGCACACGGCGGAGCTACGCCGCGCTCAGATCCTCGTCGGCCCCAGCCTCGCTGGCGATCCTTTTCTCCTCGATGGCCCTCTGGGCCTCCTCGACCTGGTGCTTGAATGCCTCGCGGCGGGCCTCGGCCTTTGCCAGGTCGTCGGCCTTCTGCTTCGCCTGGTCCGCGTTCCACTTCTCCTCGCGGGCCTGCACCTTCGCGGCCTCGTCCGGGGGCAGGTAGCGGACGTGCTTCTTGTGGGTGCGGTGCGCCTTGTTGTACGCCCTCTGCCTGATGCGCTCCTCGCGGACGGCCGTCGCGTTGTAGCCGTTCTGCTCTTCGAGCTTGTGCACGCGCTCGGCCCACATGTCCTCCGCAGGGGGAAACAAAAAGGCACAGGCACAAAACTTCGAACAAGGGCAGCTCTGATCGCGCCTCGAGCTGCGCGACGCGCGAACATCCTCGCGCGTCCCCTCCTTCTGAAATAGGAAAAGTCGCGGTGCGCAATTTCTCATCCTCATCCTCATCCTCCTCCTCACTTCTCACTCCTCACTCTTCATCCACCTCTTCCTCCCCCGAGAAATCGCAAACCGCAAAGGACTTCTCGCCCTCGTGGCGGCCTCTGCAAACATCGGAGGCCCTCGGATCGGCGCTGGAGCCCCCGCCCTGGGCGCGCGGGGCGCGCCGGGGGCGGCGCCCGAGGCACCGCCAGGGGGAGGGCACAGCGCCAAGTCCAAGCAACCTGGCACGGACCTCCGAAAGCGCATGATGGTTCGAATGTTGCTTCTTCTGGTCGGTGCGATGGGGTGCAATAGCAATATGTGAATGACATCCAGCAGTGGGAGACCATCCGCGCGCTGCTCTTCAAGAAATGCCTGGTCTTCGACCAAGAACGATGGAGTAACAAGCTGACGGGCTCCCAGCGACAGCGTGTCATTGAACAATATGGACATCAACAAACATCTGAGTGGGAGTACAAACAGAAACAGCGCACCGTGCGCGGTTCAGAGCAGTGGGGGGTTCAAAAGGACAGTCGAGGGTACAAAAACAACTTAGCTGACCCCCTCACTGTGCCCTGCATCTCTCCGCTCCGCTTCCCGTCCCATCGTGGACGATGCTCGCTCGATGCAGCTCCGCCGTGGGCAGTTAACAGGTGGCCTCCAATCCTTCGCATTCCGCTGGAGACTCCATCCCAGACAAGTGCCACCACTCTTTCTCTCCCTCCCGATTGGCAAGGCTTCGGGCTGCGCACGAGAAGCCCCCATCGCACCAGCCCCGGCTGGCCTCAACAGCCCCCCCCGGCAGTCCCAGCTGGCCTCGGCAGGCTCCCCGAGCAGTCTGGCACGGTCTCGACACACACCTCGACCCTGGGGCACGGAGCGCCCGGGGGGCGCAGGCTGGAGGCGGCGCCAGGACGTTGAGACCGCCCCGGGCTGCTCGGGGGGCCTGTTGAGGCCAGCCTGGACTGCTCGGGGGGCCTGTTGAGGCCAGCTGGGAACTGGGGGGCGGTCTGTGCACGATCCGTAGCTCACTCCCGTCCGTCGACGTCAGGCCTGGGCGTGGGCACCAACACCAACACAGGGGGTTGCCTCCACCGGGGGATGGTGATCCCAGATGTTGGTGTCGGAGGGAATCGTTCGGCCACCCAGGAAGCCAGAATATTACGACCATCACCGAGATCGGGATCGTCTTCCGTCGGTGAAGGCACATCGGTGTTGGTGTCAACCTCTATCGGCGGCGAGCGAAGGGGGGAAGTGAGAAGGAGAAGGCATCATCAGAAGGCTTGGAAGTACTCCGGCCTCCCGAGAAGTTCGGCTACGCGTAAGAGTGACCCTGAGTAAGAGTGACCTTCGGTGCGCGGCTTTTGGGGGGCCGCGGGGAGGCCAAATCTGGGCGCCCTAGCCGCTGCTACCGCTTCGCGTTCGGCCATCTGGGAGCCCATCTGTACCCGCACCAAAGGTCACTCCGGCGAAAGGTCACTCTTACGTCTAGTCGAGAAGTGTCCTAAGCCTTCTCCTGAGACGCAGACAACTCCTCAGAAGGCCGGAGGGGGCTTCTGAGAAGCCCCGCCGCATTCTGGGAAGGCCTCCTTCCTGTCACTTCCTGGCAAGCGCGAAGAAAATCAGGCTCCACATCGAACCGCATCTCGCGATGCATCGGAGACGCCGCGCGATCCTCCGGCCCCATCTACTCCGACCCCATCTAGGAAGCCTAGAGTGGATATGGATTAGAAGATGGACAATTACATACACATAAACTTCTGGCGCTCCGCGCGGACTTCTTGGATCTGCGCTGGCTCCCTGGCGCACAGAGCGCGCCAGGGGCGGCACTGGAGGCGCCGCTGGGGGGACCCCCGCGCGGATCCGAGAAATTCGCGTGGAGCGCCACAAGTGTATGTTTATGCCGCTTCTTCTTATCATTATTATTTTTCTTATTATTGCTGTTATTCGAAGAGCGGAAATGTATAGACTTCTTCGCCCGACGAGTCCTTCCACTCGAGGGCCTTCTTCGTCCACTCCGCCTTGCGCTCGCCCTCCGCGGCCACGGCGGAGGCCTCCTGCGACCTGCGTTGCTTGGGGGCCTCGCCGCGGAGGCGGTCCACCCAGGCGGACCCGGAGGCCCGCTGCTGCACCTCCGGGCGGGGGGGGGGCAGCCCAGGGCCCTGGCCCGTGAGACGGTCTCGGGCTCGGGTGCGCCCACTCTGCGCTTTCGGGCAGAATCGGCACGGCCCCTACCACCTCCGTTGCGCTCCTCCGTTCCCCTCACCGTCTCCACTTCCCTTCTTCTTCCTCATCCTCCTCCTCCTCCTCATCCTCCTCCTCCTCCTCTTCCTCCTCCTCCTCCTCCTCCTCCTCCTCCTCCTCCTCCTCCCTCTTGCTTTTGCTCTCTCTCTCTCTCTCGCTCTCTCCATCCTCATCCTCCCCTCCCCCTCCCCCTCCCCCTCTTCCTCCTCCTCCTCCTCCTCCTCCTCCTCCTCCTCCTCCTCCATCTCCTCCTCCTCCTCCTCCTCCTCCTCCTCCTCCTCCTCGTCCTCCTTCTTTGTCACCTTCCCCTCATCCTTTCCACAAGCGATAATCACATGGAACAACCAAACAAGCAACCCATTAAATAATCCTGAGGGACCCCACCCCCAGAAATTTCCCCCATATTGTTCCTAACCCAACAGTCCGACAAATTGAGGTCGCTCGATTTTAAGAGCAGACCTCCAGACCCGTCCGCTCTGCATAGCGCGGCCGCCAGATCCCCAGGTCAGCCGAGTGTCCCCGAGTGACCCGCCTCGCGACGCTCTGCATACCGCCGCCGCAAGATCCCCCAATCTCTCAGGGATCCCCGAGTGTTCCGCCTCGCGCCACTCTGCATACCGCGGCCTCCAGATCCCCAGCTCTTCCCAGTGTCCCCGAGTGTCCCGCCTCGCGCCGACTCGCCCACTCTGCCTAGCGCGGCCGCCAGATCCCCAAATCCCCCGAGTGTCCCCGAATGTCCCGCCTCGCGCCGACTCGCCAACACTGCATAGCGCGGCTGCCAGATCCCCAAGTCCCTCAATGTCCCCGAAGGTCCCGCGTCGCGCCGACAAGACATAACATGACAGACTGGTATTATAACATAGCAGAAAGTAGTACAACACAACACTGTACACAATGACAAATCAGGACAGAACCCCGCACCAGCTAACATGACATTTCCGACCAGCATATGACATATATCACCTAACGTATCGTAACATAACACTTCGTGCCACATCAGTGCATACTATACAACAGCATCACAACACCTAGCAATGCATCAACTGACAACGCAATCATACCATTGACAATCTCATAGCCCGACCGACCATAGCAAAGTATACCATGTCGCAGCCTCGAATAAGCATGACATATACCATCATCTCACTGATTAACATACACGACGCATGTTCATACTAGAGTAAATCCGGGCATAACATGATATGTTTGAATATCACATAGCGCGCCATGACATCACACACCGCACCATAATGCCTCATCACAGCAAGTTTAACACGGTAGTTAGCATTGCAGCACATATTACAAACCATACTATGATAACAGGACGCGGCGTAGCATAACACCATCAGCTGTGACATAATGAACCATACATGGCAGATCATGCCGCCTCCACCTCCCTCAGGAAGAACTTATGCAGTTTATATTGTTGCAAGGCCTTCGTGTCTCCTCGGGTCCTCCCTTCATCCTGTAGGTGCACACAGGAGCCACTCGACGCAGACTCCATGGCCCTCCACCAATGCTCGGAGGCGTTTGGCGTGAGCGGTTCTCCAACGGTTCGGTGCTTCGGCACATAAATTGTTTCACCTGGGATACCGCGCTATGGCGCAAAAGACCGACACACCAAGCCAGACATTCGTTCTCTACACGTCTGTAGCAGTAAAGTCTCACTTGCTTCATTCTAGGTTCGGGGAAGTGTTCTCTCGTTCTCTGTGTCTGTCATTGTTTCTTTCGTTCTCTCTCCCTCTCTCTCTCTGTCTCTTCCTTTCTTTCTCTCTCTATCTCTCTCCCTTAGAACCAACCTTCCTCCTGCCCCTTCTGTGGAGATGTCGAATAAAACGCGTTCGGGGCCATTTGGCCTTTCCTCAGCTTTAGCTTCCCTCCCCTCTCCTCGTCTGAGGTCCTTCCCCTGGTAATTCAGACAGCCAGGGTCCAGAACCCTGCTGCACCAGTACCCGCTACACAGCGGAAGGCCCGCTACTTGCTGGCGCACTTCCAGAAAGTGACTCCTCTTTTCCTTAACTGCTAAAATATGAATGCCAACGAACACAAACTGCATTGTCCCTCCTCTCCTCCTCTTCTTCAATGCTAATTTTCCGCGACAACTTCGGCAGGCGAACCTCCAGACGGTGATTCCCATCCTTTCCCTCCTGTCCAGTGTCGGAGGACTCCATAGCTGTTTCTGTCTCGTCTTACCCCAAATTGTGGTCCTTAGTCATCACCCCCCCCTCCAATGCTCTGTGGTGGTTGGCGCGAGCAATTTCCCACGGGTTCCGTGCTTCACCCCATGATGTTTACCGCCTGGCGACCCGCACCATGGCACCCGGGCAACAAAAATCATTATCTTCACGGTTGCCGCAGCAAAGTCTCACTCGTTCTTCATTCCTGGGAAGGGACAACTGCAGGGGGTCTTATCCACAGGCGGCTCCTTCGAGAAGCGCAGAGCCCGGCGGCTCCACGTTCGCCTCTCTTCCCCGAGGCGAATGCCAAGTCGCACTGCGCCTGGAGACCTCAATCCTCGCCTGCACTCTCAGGATCTAGTTCCCTCCCCCTCCCTCTCCTCGGAGGTCTCTGGGAGATTGCATCGTCCCCCAGGCACGGCCTCTGTATATAGGCCCACCTCCCCAGGCTCCCCGCCATGTCTTACGATGCACTAAGGCCCAAGCGGCTCCTTCAAGAGTCAACCACCTGCCTAACTGGGAGAATCGGAAGGCAGGCTATGACTCAAGCGGAAGCGCGAAGGTTGAAGCCGCCTTTGATCATATCATCTTCCCTCTCCTCAACACACATTCCTTCTCGCTTTCTCCGAATGTCGCGTGCGTCAACGCCCTTGCTCCGTTTCCTATTCAAACACTTCTTGACGCACTCTAGCTGCTTAACGGGAAGGAGCTTGACCACACCAGTCACCCGCCTATTTGTCAGAGGATTGCCCACTGGTGGCCTCTGTGTGCAGGCGCGTGTACGTCTCAGCGTTACCTGCCGCCTCTGGTTGCAGGCGATGGATTAATATCGCTGCGGCCCCATTTTCTGTCCTCCTTTTTCACCTCCTCCTTCACCAGTCTCGCGACAGCCAACGCTTGCAGGCCTCCGCAAGTGAGGACGCACGCGTGCAGCTTTGTTTCGGTAGCTAGATGTGCGTGGCACCTCTTCCCGCTGCCTTAGAGACGTGACATTATACAATTGATGTAACGCCAGGCTCAGTCCAAGAAGCCTTCCTTGTGGTAATGCAGATGGTGTGACGATATGATTGGAGGTCCCCAACTATACACCTACACAGATCATGGGCCCAAGATGGGCCTGGCAAAGGTCGATGTGGGTGAATAGCTGGTCCCTTAGGTAGGAGGCAACTCCTGGGATATCTTTGTACGAACGAGCACGAGCTACTAAGCCCGCTCAAAGGGGCCAATGATCCGTTTGGGCCCAGATAGGGCCAGGAAAGAGCCCGACTAGGCCGGGTTAGCCGGGATTGCAAGGAACTGTGCGGGATTATGCTGGAGTAGGCCGCTTTCGACCACGGACATACCAGCGCCGATGCCGAATGTTAATCCCAGGAGCTGCATCCCCAGTAGGGTGCGACAGGAGGGGCTGGCACGCCAGAAAAGGGCACGAATAAAAAGAGCACACGGCCAACAAGCCAGTGTCGTCCAACACCCACTGCGGACGCTGTCGAGCAGGCAACTTTTTGTCTTTAGGTGGACAGCGTCCGCGGCGACGCCGACAGCGAGTCCTGTTCACATGGGCAAAGACTACTGTCGGTCGTCGCCGTACTCCATTGTATATACTGGCGGACCCAGACCCCCGACGTCATGATCACGTAGACCCCAGGAGGTCTCGACCCATTCCCCGGGGCAACTTTTCATACAAAATTTATATGTTACGGTCCCGAGACTCACCCAGAAAAGGGCCCCCAGAAGCCGAGCATAGCAACTAAACCTTTCGCCGTGCTTGTTGCACGACGCGAGGGGGTCTGAGAAGGAGAAGGGTGAACTAAGCGATGAGAACGATAGAGGCCTCTTAGATGGGGTCGAAGTAGACGGGGTCGGGGGATCGAGCCGCATCGCCGATACATCGGCGACACATCGGCGATGCATCGGCGATGCACTGGCGTTGGATCATCGATGTGGGAGATGCATCGGCAACGTCGACATGGAGCGAATCGGGCTCCACATCGAGCCGCATCGGCGATACATCGGCAATGCGGCGTGCTCCTCCGACCCCATCTACTCCGACCCCGAGGCCTAGCACAAAGGGATGAGAAAGGAGAAGAACTGGTCGGGGTCCCAGGCTGTCCACCGGGCACCTCCCGCTTGATCTGCTGCTGTACCCCCTGCGGCTGCGCCGCGCCCACGACCCTCTCCGTGGGCGCGACCTCGGGAGGCACTCTCTCCGGGAACGACCCGAGGCCTGTAGGGGTGGGTCCTCCTCGCAGCCGTCGTCGCCGCCACCAACGCCACCTCCACACATCCGCTTGTATGATTGTTTCAATCCACGGCCCAAAAGGTTCCGAACCCTTCGAGCGCACTTTTTGATTTGCGCCATAGCGGGCGTTATGGGGGGAGGGGGGGGGGCGGGAGGGGGCATAACGTAGCGCGCGCCCCTCCCGACTGTGGTGCTGGACGCACTGCGGCAGTGCCAGGGACGCACTGATTGGGGGGGGAGCGTTACGTTATGCGGGGGGGAGGGGGGCGGGGAGGGTAGGGGGCATAACGCGCATTATGGCCCGAAAGGTAAAAGGGTAAAACAACACACTCCCTTCCTAGGGCCAGGTCTTCGCCTCGGATCCATGTTTGATGGTCCTAGGGCCCGAGACAGCCCCAGAGACCGACATCAAAAAGAAACGCCCAGCGTGAAAAACATAAAGAAACATTTCGTCGGAGAACTGGGTCAGCGGTTACCGCCGCGACAACCGTCACCGCTGGTGGGTCCCAGTCGCCCAAAAGATCCCCAGAGAACAACCCGAGTCCCAAAACCGTGCGGTGACCCCGAATACCCACCGACTCACCACACGGTGTGGTCACTATACCGCTTGGTAGGGGAACGGATAATACCATGAACATAAAACTTGGAGATCCGCGCGAACTTCTCGGATCCGCGCTGGACCCCCCTGGCGGCGCCTGAGGCGCCGCCCCTGGCGCGCTGCACGCGCCGGGGGGGGGGGGTCAAGCGCCGATCCAAGAAATCCGCGCGGACCTCCGAGTTGTCATGTCTATGTCATTCTGCGTTCCCGTATTTGAGGCCCCCCGACGCCGTCGTTGATTGGCCTGTTTCTCACCACCACCACCGTGAGTTGGAAGGGGGAAGGAGATGGAGGACGAGGAAGGGAGAAGGAAAAGGATGGTGGTGGTGGTGGTGGTGGGAAACAGTCCCATCAACAGTCGTCGTCGTCGTCGTCGTCGTCCGACCGGAGGGGAGAGCAGCCCGCACGAGAGGAGGCCGAACTCGGAGTGGCCGGAGACGCCGAGCGCGGCGGCGAGCGCCGCCTGCTGGGAGAGCGCCTTGTCCTCGCGGGCGGCGGGCAGGCGAACTTCGGGCCTGCGTCGGTCTGCGCAGCTCGCCCGTCCCTGCCCCGCCCTGTTCCGTCTCCTCCTCCTCTTCGCTACCTCCTCCTCCTCGATACCTCCTCCTCCTCCTCCTTCTCCTCCTCCTCCTCCTCCTAACCTCGTCCTCCTCCTTCTCCTCCTCCGTTTCCTCCTCCTCCTCCTCCTCCTCCTCCTCCTCCTCCTCCTCCAAGCTACCTCCTCCTCCTCCTCCTCGCTACCTCCGCTACCTTCTCCTCCTCCTCGCTACCTCCTCCTCCTCCTCCGCCTCCTCCTCCTCCCTCTCCGCCTACTCTTCCTCCTCCTCTTCATCGAACCTCGAAGTGTCGTCGGCCTTTTCTGCCCCCCCTGCTCCCAGATGGACAGCTGGGAGGTGTGCTGTGGGCGGGAGGGCCCCAAACTCAGGGGGGACAGCCAGGCGCAAAGGACTGTGCCGCGGGCGCCTGTCATTCTCATATACGACATCCTCATCCTCATCCTCATCCTAATCATCATTATAATCCTCCTCATCATCATCGTGGCCGTCATCATCAGCGATATCGTCATCGTCATCATCATCCTCATCCTCAGCATCCTCAACATCCTCAGCATCCTCAGCATCCGCATCATCACCCTCCTCATCTTCAAACTCCTCCTCATCATCATCGTCATCAGCATCAGCATCATCATCATCATCATAATCATCGTCATCGCCCCCATCATCATCCACAGCCTCATCATCCTCATCATCATCATCCTGATACTCATCCTCATCCTCAAACTCATCATACTCACCACCACCATCATCATCATCAGTAGCATCATCCTCGTGATCGTCCTCATCAGTATCCTCATTATCCTCCTCCTCCTCCTTCTGCTCTTCCTCCTCCTCACCCTCCTCCTCCTCCTCTTATCCTCCTCGTCGTCATCATCATCATCATCATCATCATCATCATCATCATCATCATCATCATCATCATCAGCATCATCATACTCATCACATTCAGCATCGCCATCACCCTCGTGTTCGGCCTCCTCCTTCTCTCCCTCGTCCTCTTCCCCTTCTTCCTCCGCCTCTTCCTTCTCCTCCTCCTCCTGCCCATCCTCCTCGTCCTTCTCCGTCACCTGTTCCTCCTCCTCCTCCTCCTCCTCCTCCTCCTCCTCCTCCTCCTCCTCCTCCTACTCCTCGCCCAGCGCTCCGCTTCATCCTCCCCCAGAGTGGTTGTTTCTCCTCCTCCTCCAACTCCCTGCACCGTCCTTACCCTCCTCGCCGTCGTTGTGGCCGCTGCCGCCATCGTCGTCTCATCCGTTCTCCCCTGTTAAGGCTACGGGCGTGTTTCCATTGCCACACGGATCCTCCTCCATCAGCTGCCACGCCCGCAGCAACATGTCGGTGACCTCGCCCCCGTCTCTCTCCATCCATCCCTCGCTCTCCCACACCACTTCCCCGAAGAGAATTACAACAGCGCAGAGAGGCATCAAACAAACACGGTGCATGAGACCACACACACACATGGTAGGTAAACATCAAGGGCGTGCCTGTTGTGGTTAGCCAAGGCCGCCGCAAAAAAATGAACACGGCACTGAACAACACGGCACGCGGGCACAGGAGCCTGTCCTTCTATTATCCGCGATAGCGGGCGTGATCGGGGGGGGGGGGGGGGCGATCACAACACCACGGGTCACTGCCACCCCGGGCCTTTTTTTTTTTTTTGACGGGTCTCTGCCACCCGGGGCCTTTTTCGAGCCCCCAGGGCCTCGGGAGGTGGAAGATAAGGAAAAGGGAGAGGGAGCAGAGGAGGAAGAGGGGATTGAGGAGGAAAAGAAGGAGCAGCAGCAGAAGCACGAACAGGGAGAACAGGGGGGGGCGAGAGAGGAAGAGGAGAAACGATCTGTAGCCAATTTGACTCAATCCAATTTGGTTCTTCCCAAACGGGCCCAGGATGGTTCCACCAAGCCTGTCCAGAGAGCTCGGTGCTGGCAGAGGCCTCGCTTTTTCGGCCTCCCGGTCGCGGACATCAGCGACGACGACGAATTCCTGAGAAACCCTTGAGATTCCCTGGAAACCCTGGAAGATTCCTTGAAACATGCGGGGAGAACAGCGGGACGTGATCGGGGGGGGGCGGGTGCGTTCACGAGCGTTGTCGCCCAGACAAAAAACAACAGGCTCCAGCACGGCACGGCAATATTTCCCCAACTCTATACCCTAGGCACGGCACAAAACGGCACGCGGGAACGGCACGGCACGGCACATTTACCGCACTCGACACCCTAAGCGTAGCACAGCACGGCACGGAAAACTGTTTGCGTTCTGGGACCTCAGCAAGGCACAACACGTGGGCACGACACGGCAAACATTCTCCCGGTCCAAAACCCAAGCATGCCACGGCGCCGCAGACTTGTCCCACTCCTGAATCTTGGCACGGTGCAGCACGGCACACGGGCGCAGAACGACACGGCACATATTTGGCATCATACCGCCTAGACATGGCACGGTACGACAAACTCTTCGCATTCGGAAGCCAAGGCGTAACCCGGCACGCAGGGAAGAACCGGCAAATTTGTCCCCACCCTGGAACCTGGGCACGGCACGACTCAGCACGGCGCGCTGGCACGGCGCGGCACGGAGCACCGTGCACTCGCTAGAAACCCTGGCGCGGCACAGCACGGCACGCGGGCACGGCATGGAAGCACAAACTCTTCGCGCTCCACTACCTCGCAGCGCTGCACGGAACGGCACACCAGGCAAGGCACGGCGCGGCGCTCTTTCTAGCGTCGGCGGCTGGGCACAGGGAGACTGCGCTGGCGATGAAGGCATGACCGAGGGTACCGTTGGGCCGAACTGTGCCACCATGCAGGAGGAGGAGGAGGAGGAGGAGGAGGAGAAGGAAGGGAGGCGGGGCGCGGCCCAAAGGACAAGGGCACTTGTCCAGAGTCCAGACGGCAAGCAAGGCACGGCACGCGGGCGTGGCACGGCACCGCACGGCAGTGCGCGCTGCCTTGGCAACCGGGCACGGCACGGCAGCGAACCCTCTCAGCCCTGTTAGCACTATACGCACGGCGCGGCACGGCACGCCACGGCCCGCAGGCACGGCACGACACGGAACACACAATCCGCACTGTGACAACCTGGGCGCTCCGCGGCACGACGCGCGGGCACGGCACGCGGCACCTGGGCACCGCAGCGTTTTCGCAGACGGGAGCCCAGGCACGGCACGGCACGCGGGCACGGCGCGGCACTGCACTGTGGCCGCAGCGTCCTCGCGGGCTGCTTCTCAAAGGCAGTTTCCGAAGCTGCCTTCGTTGCTTTGGGAGGAACGGATTTCGAGGCGGATTTACCAGCCACCTTGGGGAGCCATCCATAGAAGACCCGTGGTCCTTACGACCATTGTTAAGTCGGACATGTCCACCTACAGGCGGATTTTGGACGGAAAAAAACAACACTTACTCAAACAATACCCCAAACATGCCCAAACATCCTCAAACGAATCGTCCACATACTTGGAATATTTATTCCCCCTGTAGAGGGAGAGGCCGAAACCTTAGGGGGCCATGCATGGAGGACCTGTGGTCCTTTCCACCGTTGGGGAAGCCATCGGCTTCGACACCCCTCTCGGGAGATCTTTGACACATGGGGATAAGGCTAGGTCGGGCATGCTCCCCTACAGGCGGATTCTGGAGGAAAAATGAAAATAGGCAAAAAAACTTCAAACATGCCCTACAATAGTCAAACTATCGTCCCCAGCCTATTGTTTGATTTGTTTGGGAAGTTTCCTCCTGTAGAGGGACATGCCCGACTTGAGGATAAGGAACTCAGTTCCCCCAGTCGTGGCAGGCCAGAGGTCCAGAGCCGACTCTGGCGCGGTTCGCGCGCCAGGGCAAGGGGAGATACGTCAGGTTCGTGTCGTGCCGACTTCGGCGGTGGCTTCTGACACCGCGGGGATCGTTCAACCTTGCACCACGATCGGCCGATATGTCCAGATCGTTTCACATCGAACGATTCTCGTCCCGCCCGCAGCGATGAAAGCTGAACGCCGCTGGCGGGGTCGCCAGGGGTCGACACGACACGAACCTACCGTACATCGACTCCCTTCTCACCCCATCCCGCTGATCGGGGGAGCACAAAAGGTGAGGCAGAGGCAAAGGTGGGGTTGGAAGGACACTCGCTCCGGACGGCCCCCGGAAGAAGGAAGCGCGCTCAACGGGAGCACCTGGCCGGGCCCGCTTCCCAGCCCAACCTTGGAACAACCCTCCCTCTACGAACCCCCGACGAGCGCCCTTGCCACGCGGGACCCGGCTCCGGGAGGTGCCGCCAGGCGCCGCCTACTAGGGGGCATGGCGCCGACCCAAGCGAGCCGCGCGGACCTCCTGACGTCACTGCGTATGCCATGCCTTCGTTCTCGACCTGCGTTCCTTCCCTCCTCCTCATCGCTCCACGGCTCCTCTTCGGAGGGCGAATGGAGACGTCGGCAACTCAAAATCGGCCCCTGGACCCCACCCGGGGTCCAAACGCATCAGCTTTCCGAGCCGCGCCCAGCCGTGGCGACGAGGGGCCCCCCCGTAGGCCAACTACCGATGTCTCAACCGGCCCTGCTTCCTTGCCTTTCGTAGGCGCGGCGCCAGGGGGGGAAGTGAGCAAAGGCGGGCCTTTTCAGATGGATCGGAAGTCCCCCGGCCTTCTGAGAAATTCTCTGAGCCTTCCCCGAAGGCAGAACAAAACCTCTCAGAAGGCGCGAGGGCTTCTGAGAAGCCACGCCGCCTTCTGAGAAGGCCTCCTCCTTCTCATTTCCCCCCTTCGCTCGCCACCGATTTCGGGTGTTTTTCAACGGAGGCAATCAACGTGCGGTGAAGAACCAGGAACATTTCGTGCATCTTCTGGGCCCGTGGCGACGAGGGGACCCCCCGAAGGCCAACTACCGATGTCTCAACTGGCCCTTCATCCTCGCCTTTCGGGTGTTTGTTAACAGAAGGAGGAGGGAGAGGAGGAGGAGGAGGAGGAGGAGGAGGAGGACAATTAACGTGCGGTGAAGAAACGTGCGCCTGTCGTGCATCCTCTGGGCCCGCGGTGACAGTCCAGGGGCCGGCCAGGGCCCCGATGGAGGGCAACGCTCCTGCACCAGGACCTCTCTGTCCCCCAGTATTTGCTGCCTCCCAATTGCCGCCCGCCCCGGACTTGCCCTCCACTCCTCCTCATCAGGGCTGGACCTAAACGTTGTCTTTCGTGTTGTGCTCGTTTTGTTGTTCGTTTTGCCCTGCCTGTTGTCCTGTACCTCGATGCCAAAACGAAGAACAAGACGCAGCCGAAGTCCAACAAAACAGCGTTTAGGTCCGGGCCTGATTTGCTGCCCCCCCGTTGCCGCCTGCCCGGGACTTGTCCTCCACTCCTCCTCATGATCACCCCCCTGTTTCTCTGGAAACCTCCAAAGCGGTCCGAACAGATGGGGTCGGAGGGCCGCGCCGCATCACCGAAACATCGCCGATGCATCGGCGATGCATCGGCAACGTCGGCGATGCATCGGCGACGCTAGCATGAATAATATTGGGCTCGGAAATCGAGCCGCATCGCCGATGCATTGGCGATGCGGCGCGATCCTCCGACCGGGCGAGTCAACTCCTGGGAGGTCTTCGTCAGAAAAGGAAGAAATATTAAGCCATACCACATGGCCACTGAGCTGGATTAGGCCAAATCATGCCTGGGATAAGGCCAGATTAAACTGGGATGAGTCGGATGAAGCGGGATTCAACTAGGATAAGTTTGTTTGCGACCAGGGACACACCAGCGCAGATTCGGAATTCAAGATCCCAGGACAGTCATCCTGAGGACCCGTTTGGGGTACTGGTTCATCCCAGGTCGGTTTCTGACGGTCCAAGGGCCCAGAAACGGCTCCCAGAGGCCCCAAACTACGAAAAGCCGAAGGTGACGAAAGCAGACACATCGACAAGTAAAGTTGCACTACTACTCTCCCAGGGCAGCGCAGATTTTCGTTGCTCTGACCTCGGGCGCGTCCGTCAGGGCGAGGAAGCCGCTGTCGATGTCGGCCACGTCCCCGGCCTCCTCTAGAAGAAAAAAACGCCTTAAACACAAACTGTTGGCACTCCGCACGGAGTTCTTGGATCCGCGCTGCGCCCCCGGTGGCGCCTCCGGCGCGCTCCGCGCGCCAGGTAGGGGTGCACGGTTTCCCCCAGGGCCGTAGGCGACCCGAGAAGAAGGGGAGGAGGAGGAGGAGGAGGTGGAGGAGGGGGAGCAGGACATGGAGGGGGAGGAGGATGAGGATGAGGGAGGAGGAGGCAGAAGAGGGGGAGTGGGAGGAGGAGGAGGAGGAGGAGGAGGAGGGGGAAGAGGAGGAGGGGAGTAGGAGGAGGCCGGAGGAGGAGGAGGAGGAGGAGGAAGAGGAGGAGGAGGAGGAGGAGGAGGAGGAGAAGGAAGAGGAGGAGGAGGAGGAGGAGGAGGAGGAGGAGGAGGAGGAGGAGGAGAGGAGGACGGGTCGCCTAAGCCCTTCGGGGCCCAGCGCGGATCCAGGAAATCCGCGAGGAGCGCCAAACGTTTATGTTTAGGTCGGGCATGTCCCCCTACAGGCGGATCTTGGACGAAAAATGGAAAATATTCAAACATTCACTGAACTCATCAAAAATTATGGAATAAATCGCCCCCTGACTATTTTTTTACTTTTCATGAATATTCTAGAGGGACAGGCCCCATTTTAAGTTTCTGTTATGGCGTTTTTTCTCCTCCGATCCTCGCGGCAGGCCTGGGCGGTCTGGGCCTTGGTGGACTTCGAGGCGAACGCGATGGTCCTCCGGGGGGCTGCGCGGCGAGCGCATGGCCCCGGGGAGGCACAACGAGCCCCTGCCGAAGATGATCAGAGCCCAGAGGAGGAGGCGGAGGAGGAGGAGGAAGCGAAGCAAAGCGAAACGAAGCGAACGCCGGAGTCGTGCGCGCTCCTCCGGAGAGCCCGCCCGTGCCCATTATGGCATGGCGTGGAGGCCGTGACCTCGACAAGGAAGATCACCAAAATATTCAGGCTTGTGAAACGTATGCTGGCTCACAGGATGTCCACCACTCTGTGCAGCAAGCGACCCAGATCCATCGTAGGTCGTTCGTGTTGTTGTGCTCGTATTGTCGTGGTTGGGTGGCTGCCCTGTTCTGTTCCTCTACGGCCTCGTTGTCCAGACTGTGCAGGAAACTGCGGATATCGTCGTCCCACCGCTTTGGCTGTCCCCCATGCTGCCGTCGTCCGCGCTGGCGTGTATTGAGATTCGAATTCCATTCGAGCACTCTCCGGGTCAAGCGCGTCGTGGGATGGTGAGACACCGTATTCGACCATCTCCATACCGTTCTACGATGTATATACAATACGTCTGGTATATCGTGCATAATCATGAGTGATTCCGCCCTCCGTGTGCTTCTGCGGATGAAGTCGGACCACAGCTCCAGGTCGTCATCCCCCCTGCTGCTAGGCTGCGTGTCCTCGTCGTCTTTGCCTGCGTCTTGCAGATTGAATGGGTTGGGAAGGTCGCTGTGTACGTCGGAGTCGGTGGAATCTTTGGAATCGTTGGACTCGCGTGGACTGGTGGATCCCTTACTGTGGTGGTGGGTATTGTTTTGGTCTGCTGCTGGGTCGTGGTGCGGTGTCGGTGCAGCTGTGCGTCTCCTGTGGCCCTATGGTTATTCTGATCATGCGTCGTTGCGTTCGTCGTAGCTGCTGCTTGAGGAGCTCTGTCAGAGTCCAGGTTTCTGCGCCGTACGTCATAGTAGGGATAGCTGGACCCTTGTCAAGTCGCAATCGATGTCTCAAGGGGTAGTCTTTGCTGGTGGATTCTTGTCGATGGCCGCTAAAACACGCCCACTCAGCTTGAATCCGGTGCTTGACTTCGGTCGCGGTGGCGTCATGGAAAGTAATCGTCTGGCCTCAGTACTTGATGGTGCTGGTTCGTGGTAGGATTTCGATGTCCATCCCTGTTACTGTAGCCGTCCGGTCGCGGTTGCGAAACTGGTTGGTCATGATTTGGTTTTGGTTGGGTGTAGCTCCAACCCATTTGGCTTGGCAGATGTGATCAAGTCGGAAAGCAGTCTTTTCAAATTGTGTAGTGTTTGGCTGGTCAGCAATATGTCGTCTGCGAACCGGAGGTTCGTGAGTGTCGAATCGTCGGTGTGGCCCAATTGAACGCCCCGAGGAGAAGGAGGAGGAGGAGGAGGCGGAAGAGGAGGCGGATGAGGTGGAGGAAAAGGAGGCGGAGAAGACGCCTTCAATCCGGATTCGCGTTCCTCGATTTCGGCCTCCGGGGCCTGTGATCGAGGCCCCAGGTGGCTTTCGAGGCCTGGTGTGGTTTCCATCTGCGCCTCGTCGCGGGCGCTTCGGGGGTGCCCTGATCGTCCCGAACGGGCGCCGCATACCCAACTTAGGACCCGAAAACCAACATCTCCGACGATAACATTTTTTCAATCGGGTTTTATATGATTCGATTTCGGCCTCTGGGGCCCGGTATCAGCCACTGGGACGAGCGACCACCCCCAGGGGAGCAGGCGGAACTTCCAGAGCCGCGCATTGAACAAATCACATCGGCGGATGTCAGGGATCGTGCGCTCGCGCGAACGTATGCTTGGCCACAGGATGCAAGTTTGAGCTACCACACGTCTCGGTGCGCCGAAAAGGGGGGCAAGAAGTGGGTTGGGTCACCGCATAATGGCCCGAGGACTGTACGTGAACGAGGTGGGGCCCAGGTAACACATTGAAAGAAAAAGCGGATGCGATGACATCTGTGACATTTCACGGTCCTCGCCATGATATCCTCACACACACACACCCTTAATCAGAGTCCTCCGCCCCATCTTGGACGCCCCCAATCGTGAGGATCATCGGGTCGGCCCAATATATGCAGAACAACTGCGTTAACAGATTCAAGGAACCCTTGTAAAAGAACATGCTGAAACGCTTCAAAGCAGTGCGCCAGCATTGCTTTGAACGCTTCAAAACCCTAGGGGGTGGCACGTGCAACGTCAAGGTTCGTGCGTGCGGCTACAATGCAGTTGCGGGGCAGAGGTGGCGTACGGGACGTCGTCGCACTCGCACTTGTGCCTCATGCTGCAGGTAATCGGCGCAAGAGCCACGAGGCCCATCCCACAGGGCATGGAGTTCACTGAGGACGAGATCACGAGGCTAAATCGCATCCTGGACAATGACGGCAATCTCGGCATGGCCGCAGTGTCGGGATAAGACCATGTCGCCAAGAAGCTCATGCAAGAGGGAATGCTCATGGAAGTGCTCAGTTGGAGACTCATGGAGGAGGAATCCACTGGAACTTCGCTCACCAACCAGTCCCTCAAATCCGTCGACCTTGTCGGCGTGTGCGAGGCGTTTGTCTGATCGAGTAGTCGTATCCGTCGGTCGTCATATGCGTCGTCCCCTTTCCCTGCACCCTCCTCAAGCCTGTCAGCGAGAGACAAACCTCGCAATGCCGTAATCGAAGCGAAAGGATGAAGCCCCCTCGCTTTGATCCCTCCCCCCGTCGGGGGGTGGGGGTCCCCGGCAGGGGGGGGGTCAGATACGCATCCCTTCCAGGGGCTGCAAAAAGTATCAGAGCAAACCAAGAGTGCCCACAGAGGACCCGAGACGGTCCAAGAGGGTTTCCAATCGCCAAACGATCTGTCCAGAACGCATTCGCGCTCCCAGACTGGCCAGGAGACCTTCAAGACGCTCCAAGGAGCCTCTAAAGGCACTCCCGAGAGGGTCACAAGAGGCTAACATTCATGATGTCCCTTGAGGTTTCGACAGATTTAGGCGTTCTCGCCTTTTCCGATTCCCGCCGCTCCAAGACGGCCGATGAGGCCCTCAAGATTGCCCCAAGACGGCCCAAGAGGTTTCCAAGAGAGCTCCAATCCATCCCAAGAGAACCCCAAGACAGCCCAAAACGCCTCCAAGACGGCCCAAGAGGCTCCCAAGACGGCTCCAAGAGCGTGCCTTGACGGGGAGCCCGAACTGACATTTCGAGCCCTCGGCTCCGAGAAGCTCCCAGGAGGCCCCAAGAGGTTCCGAAGAGGCCCCAAGAAGCCCACAAGAGGCACCCAGCACATCCGAAAAGGCCCCCAAGAGGCCGTCAAGAGGCTCCTAAGAGACCCCACAATTCCTCACCAGAGGCTCCCGAGAGCCTTCCCAAGAGACCCCAAGAAGTATCCCTGAGGACTCGGGCCCACGTCAGCGTCGTCGTCGTCGTCGTCGCCGCTGCCACCGCCGCCGTCGTTGTCGACGTCCCCTTCAGGGTCTGCGTCACCAGCCGTAAGGCCTTCGCAATAAGGAGCCGACGCGTCCTGCGCAAAGCTGCGGACGCGGAGCTCGAAACCGCAATTGCAGGTCAGGCGGCCTTTGACAAGATCAAGCTCTCGGTAATGCGTGAACTCGATCGTTTCGTTCCGGACACAGACTTCATGGAACTGTTCGACTTCGTCGTTAGGTTCGGGGGTACTAAAGCGCAGTTCACCCCATTGCTGTTCCATTCCTGCGAGGTCAACGTGAACTAGAATCTAGAAGAGAAGGGCGCTTCGGCTCTGTGCTTTCGGGGCCACCAACGGGCTGCCCGACCAAATACCGCGGGTCAAGGTTGACCTCCGTACGCGATGCTACAGGAACGCGCCTGCGAGGAAGAGGGGGGTTGACACCGCAGTGTGGCGCCAGGATCCAGAACCAGTGTGGAAGAGTAATAACAATAATACTAATGGTCGGAAGATGAATAAGTAGAAGAAGAAGAAGAAGAAGAAGAAGGAGGATGCGGCCGAGGATCTTCGAGACATGAACTCGGCTCTTCGTCTGTACTTTCCCACGGCGAGGAAGGCCCGCCAGGGCATGGGCGAGAAGAAAGCGATCGCATTCAAGGCGAATGTATGCACCATGGCCGCGAGAAGCTACGTGCAGTACCTGAAGACCACCAACGTGAAGGCGCGAACTGTCCTTGGATATGGCCAGGCGCTCCTCCCAGCCTGCGCGGACGCCGCGGACAATTGGAGTCGAAAGCCCATCGGGGGCGATCGCGAAGGCCCTGGAAGCCGTACCAATCGGAAAAGAGAATCCCGATTGGTTTGATTCCAAGACGTTGCCGCAACTAGGCCCGAAGGCGCACGCAGTTGCGGGAAGGGCACAGGGCCCTCCAGAGGGGGAGGAGTTCAGGCCGACGGCCACCTCCACTGAGCCCCACACGCACTCACCGACGAACACCCAGGCAGCGGCAACCTACCTCGGATCCTTCTCTTTTGCCAATTGCCGAAGCGGGGCGTTCGGCGCCACCTGCCCGCAAATGCGGAAGCCAACCCATAGAAGAGCTGCGAAACGCCGTCACGGCCAAGCGTACCGTCAAACTACCGCCGCCCACGACGCGGAGTCCATCGAGCTGAGGCCGTGCGTTCCGAGGGCATCCAGGGTGCTGTCCGCGAGCACGCACCCCCGAGTGTGCCCGTGCTGGCGTGGGCGACAGGAGATCGATCCGCGGCTCCGCCGGTGTCTTCTTGCTGCATCTCGAGGTCAAGCCCCCCCCTGAGCACGCGACGTTTGCCGAAGTGTGCAGCTGACCACGTGAAAGTGGGATGTGCAAGAGGCAACGCATCTCTTCTGGGCCGTCAGCATGGTCACGCCGCAGGAGATTCAGCCGAGCAACGCGGGCAACGATAGCGCAGTTGCGCGGTTCAGCATGGAGCTCCTGGAGGAGTTGGCGGTGTGCGTGCCGGGGGCCAGAGACCTCGTGCTTGCGGCGAAACTCCCCGTGCTGGCGAACGCGACGAACGTCAGGAAAGGAGAAGAGCTCCTTTGGGAAGCGAGACCCAAAGCCGCACCGAAGAAGAAGAAGGCGGCCGAGGAGACGTGGAAGACAGATGTGGCCAGAAAGGTGAACGACAAGCTTCCGTCGCGAATACGGGACACGATCGCGGCAAACACGAGCTCGTCCTGGTCTTCGCGATTCGCGACAGACCGATAATCTGTCGTAGAGGGTGGAGAAGACATGTCAGAGGATAAATAAAATTGTGAAGCAGAGAACAGAAAGAGCTGACGTTACAGGGTAGAGAGCAAGCATAGTCAACAACGTAGACACAACAATAGCAAGACTGAACGAGAGGGAGGCGTAGTAGAAACATAGAGAGGGATGACTTGCGACCACAGTCGAACACCCACCCATATAAATATACATAGGTGAATGTATATCTATATACAACTACTGCATAGAGAGATGAAGGACAACACATAAAGTACACCTATATGGTCTACCAGATAGTGTGAAATACTCAAAACTCGAAAACTACTGTCATATATAAGGAGCGGTGTCATAGATACGGTGTGAAGTACTGTCATAGATAGGGAGCATACACACGCAAACATGGAGATGCACTGTCATACACCTGTGTATATAAACCTAACAGGAACGAGAGGGGGGAAAAGAGAGAGAGAGAGAGAGGAAGAGAAAGAGAACGAGAGGAATCAGCAACACACAAACATTGAGAGAGAGAGAACGTATAGACTAGGTGTTGAATGGCACAGTGCAAAGTGAGCGGATGTTGCATATGAGTTGTGGAAACCAGATTCGTACATCCGTGTGGAGAGACAGGGACAGGACGAGGGAGCGATAAATAGAGAGAGAGAGAGAAAAAACAAAAAGGAAGCCAAGACGACACAGGACAGAGAGACAGGGAGGAAGTGAGGAACTATATGTATGTATACATGGAGAGAGACATAGATAAATACGTATAGCGAGAGAGAGGGAGAGAAAACAAAAAGAAGAGACAGGGAGGGAGGGAGGAACCACGCTTAGAGTGTCTGAGGATGTTTCAGGAGTTCGACTGAATTGCTTTCCTAGTGAAATTCAATATTCGGGCCTTGGGAGGTAACGCGTAGAAGCTCTTCGTAAGAACGAATAGGGCCATCGGGCACGCTCAAGGGCCCATGAATTTGGACTTGGCCAGAAGTAAACCCAGGAAAAAACCGTAGTAAATTTGGTTCAGCGGGATTGAGCGGGACAGGGCGGAACTGTGCCAGAGTGGGCCGGTTTCCGAACATGGAGATGCCAACGCCGATGCTGAAATTAATCTCCCAGGAGTTGCACTCCAACTTCGAGTGGGGGATCGACTAACCTCATGCCCGTGAGAATAAACACTAGGGGATAATAAAGTTCGGGGTTCAGGGAGAGATAATAAAAGTAGCCCAGCAGACCTCAGCATAATCTCGAAGTAAGAGATGATCAAGAGGAGACCAAGCCGAGCACGTTTTGAGACATCCTTGGCGTTTAGTTTTCATAGAAATATCCTCAACAATAGCTTATCTCTCATGAAAATTGTTTTTTTGCAAGTGCTCGTGTAGGGTAGCTCATGTGCCTCAATTTCCATGGATAATCAACCCCAGAGATAAAAAAAGTTCAGGCGAGCGTGGGGACAGAGAGAAATATAAAAGAAGAAGAATACAGTAGAAGAATAATAGGAAAGAAGAATAAGAGGATAATAAGAAGAGGACGAAGAAAGGAAAAATCCAAAGTTCCAAATCTATCAATTTTAATTTACAAACGCTTTATGAACATTGATTTTTTAAGTGCTCGTGTAGGGTAGCTCATGTGCTTCATTTCCCATGGATAATCAACCCCAGGGATAAAAAAGTTCAGGCGAGCGTGAGGACAGATAGAAATATAAAAGAAGAAGAGGAAAGTAGAATAATAATAATAACATTGCTCGTTTCGTTTGAGTCTGCCTTCCAAAATTATTGGTTTCGCTTGACACATCCTGAAAAAGTGTGATCGCTTCGCTTGATGTTGCTATATCAACATCGCTTGATGTTGCTATCGCAACATAACGTTTCGAGGTGACCATGAAGTTCGGCCTCAGCGCTCGCCGCCCAATTTGAATTTTGTATAGGGCGACAATAATCAACTCTAAACACTGAAGGGGGGGGTCCCTTTATTATCATCGGCATGCGGTTACAGAGTTTGTGAGCACCATCTTTGATTTTTCCATCGGATCAACCCAAGACTGATACAGCGACGACACATCAATTTCGGGGCCTTCTGTTCGGTTCCGAGGTCCTCGAGGAGGCCGCGAGGGCGGTCGTCAGCCCCTTGGTGAACAGCACGCCCGGCGTCACGGACACCACCCTCTGGCCCAGGCCGGCAGAGGCCACGGTGGTGAGGATGGCGTGCTTGAGGACGCTGAGCTGGACGTCCTGCTGCGGCACGACCACGAGGCACTTGTGGCCGGACACGCCGGACTTGTCGGCCAGGGCCTTTCCCGGTGGCGCCCAAGCGGAACTGGTGCGAAGAGCGGGGGCCTGCCGGGAAGGAGGGGGTGCTTCTTAGGAGGCAGGGGCCCTTTCGGGAGGGCATGGGGGGCTCACGGGGCGGGCCTCTAAGAAGGCCTCTGCTTTCTGATGAGCCCCGCCGCACTCTTACAAGCCCCACCCCCTCGCGCCGCGCCCTTGTGGGCGCCACCAACCTTGCAGACGCCGGAAGACGTGCCGACGACGACCGTGTTGGTTGCCGCGTCCACCCCGTCCGAGAGGCTGGTGAGCGTGTCCACCGCCATGTCGGTCTCCCCCTGGTCCACCGCCATGACGAGGATCGAATCGCTCTCGTTCCTGGGGGAACACGGAGGTACCGATACTGCGACTCTCTGGACCTCTCTCGGGGTGCGTTCTGACCAGAATGTCCAAGTGAACCCAGCCGTTGCGACGAGGGTCTCCCAGGAGGCCCAAAAAGGCGAAAACAAGGGAAGGGTAGCAATGCTGGAAACTTTTCCTCCGCTGAATTCCGGTTGGCGATGTCGGCCACCATCTTGTGCAGCGTGCGAACCTGCTGGTGCCACAGCAGCTCGTAGTATGCCGGGTTCCCCGTCTCGCAGCTGAACGCCTTGAAGAGGCTCGAGACCGGCGCGTCGCCGACGCTCTCCGCGAAGCACTGTTCGAGACCCGCCGACTCGCTGCCGAGCCTGGAGGAAGAAAATTATCCCAGTGCGACCCTACCTAGGAGTTGGAGCCCCTAGGAAAGCAGCATTAGTAGTAACAGTAAAGCTAAGCTAAAGCTAAACTAAGGCTAAGCTAAAGCTAAGCTAAAGCTAAGCTAAAGCTGAGCTGAAGCTAAGCTAAAGCTAAGCTAAAGCTAAGCTAAGGCTAAGCTAACACTAAGCTGAAGTTGAGCTAAAGCTAAGCTGAAGCTATTCTAAAGCTAAGCTGAAGCTAAAGCTAAGCTAAAGCTAACAATCAAGCTAAGCGAAAGCTAAGCTAGGGCTAAGCTAGGGCTAAGCTGATGCTAAGCTAAAGCTAAGATAAAGCTAAGCTAAAGCTAAGCTGAAGCTAAGCTTAAGCTAAGCTAAAGCTTAGCTAAAGCTAAGCTAAAGCTAAGCTAAAGCTAAGCTAAAGCTAAGCTAAAGCTAAGCTAAAGCTAAGCTTAAGCTGAAACTAATGCTAAGCTAACGCTAAGCTAAAGCTAAGCTAACACTAAGCTAAAGCTAAGCTAACACTAAGCTGAAGCTAAGCTAAAGCTAAGCTAAAGCTAAGCTAACGCTAAGCTAAATCTAAGCTAAAGCTAACCTGAAGCTAAGCTAAAGCTAAGCTGAAGCTAAGCTACTGCTAAGCTAAAGCTAAGCTAGGGCTAAGCTAGGGCAAAGCTGAAGCTAAGCTAAAGCTAAGCTGAAGCTGAGCTAAAGCTACTATAAAGCTAAGCTAAAGCTAAGCTAAAGCTAAGACAACGCTAAGCTAAAGCTAAGCTAAAGCTAAGCTAAAGCTAAGCTAAAGCTAAGCTAAAGCTAAGCTTACGCTGAAGCTAATGCTAAGCTAACGCTAAGCTAAAGCTAAGCTAACACTAAGCTAAATCTAAGTTAACACTAAGCTGAAGCTAAGCTAAAGCTAAGCTAACACTAAGCTGACGCTAAGCTAAAGCTAAGCTACAGCTAAGCTAAAGCTTAGCTAAGGCTAAGCTAAAGCTAAGCTTAAGCTAAGCTTAAGTTGAGCTAAAGATAAGCTAAAGCTGAGCTGAAGCTAAGCTAAAGCTAAAGCTAAGCTAAAGCTAAGCTGATGCTAAGCTAAAGCTAAGCTAAAGCTAAGCTAAAGCTAAGCTAAAGCTAAGCTAAAGCTAAGCTAACGCTAAGATACAGCTAAGCTAAAGCTAAGCTAAAGCTAAGCTGAAGCTAAGCTAAAGCTAAGCTGAAGCTAAGCTAAAGCCAAGCTAAAGCCAAGCTAACGCTAAGCTAAAGCTAAGCTAAATATAAGCTACACCTAAGCTAAAACTAAGCTAAATCTAAGCTAAAGCTAAGCTACTGCTAAGATAAAGCTAAGCTAACGCTAAGCTAACATTAAGCTAAAGCTAAGCTAACACTAAGCTGAAGCTAAGCTAACACTAAGCTAAAACTAGGCTAAAGCTAAGCTAACACTAAGCTAACACTAAGCTGAATCTAAGCTAAAGCTAAGTTAAAGTTAAGCTAAAGCTAAGCTAAAGCTAAGCTAAAGCTAAGCTAAAGCTAAGCTAAAGCCAAGCTAAAGCTAAAGCTAAAGCTAAGCTAAAGCTAAAGATAAGGCTAAAACTCCCAGGGGACTGGGGGAACCGCGGGGCGGGGACTGGGGGAACCGCCCGGGGCGTGTAGCACTGCCCGGCCCCTTTAAGCAAAGAGAGTAAGAACCCTTCTAGGCAGAGCCTAGGTAGGGAAAAACAGGCACATACTCTGGATGGGGTACTTATCAAAGGGAGGAGGGGTTTTCCTTCCGACGGAGCTTGCCCCCCCCCCCCCCCCACACTCTCTCCTCCACCTCCCCCTCCCTCTCCCCCTCCTCCTCCCCCTCCTTCTACTCAAGCACAGGGGGCCCGAGGCGCGTGTCGTACCCATTTGGGCTCACACTTGCCATGGGACTCCTAGCTCCGTGCCTCCACGTCGGCGCCTGAGGGGCACTGGGTAGCATCCTTCGTCCTTTGTATTGATATTGTGGGGCTGTCTGTGGAGGAGGCGATCCCTCTTGGGGGTTGCCCGATGACCAGTGGTGTTTGCACATCATTGAACAAGGGCCGCATCGAGCCGATTTCACCTCAGCCGAACTTCTGTCAATCCCTCTGGTTTTGGACAGCTATCCCAGTGGCTAAACGGAGCGAATTTCGATCGGTGTATGGTGTGTTTCTTTCTGGGAGCAGCCGCACAGCCTTATCTTATGTTTTGCTGCGCATATTCTTCTGGGTTTCATTCCTGCACGTGTTCTTCGGCATCCATCCCAGGCGGCAGGGACAGTGGGAACCTTTGCGCACTGACCCAACGCCTCCCGCCTGGGAGTACCAGTTCGCGCCCTCGCTCTGCAAGCTATTTTTGACTGCTGGGGCGCGGCGGAGTACCTACAGCCGGTTCGTCACGTGGGAGTTGCTGCGCAGTGGTGTCTTTCAGCATGCTGGGCATATTCTTCTGGCTCTTACGTTCCTGCTCGGTCTCTTCGACATCCATCCCAGGCGGCAGGGACAGTGGGAGCCCACGTGCACTGACCCAACGCCTCCCGCCTGGGTATACTTCAATGGATGGTTGTGCTTGGGCAAATGGTTTTTCCCTAGCAAGGGGTATTCTGCGCATCTCGTTATTCAAGTGTTGTGGTTTGCATGTCGGCGCAGCTGTGTGGCTCTTTGTCACCTCGACTCGCGATGTGGGTCATACGCTTTGTGTGGCGAGGCGGGCGGAGTTTTTAAGTATCAGCATGGGCTGAGGGAGTGAACAACGTTGCTGTATCTGGTTTATTCTGGGATGTGGCTTGTTGGAGGTACTCATTTACGGCATCCACGTGTTCCGTAAGCTTCAGCCGTCAGGTCTTATGGTCATGCCCTTCGATCTGTTTCTCTCAGCGCTGGCATCTCCAGAGTTCGTCGTCGAGTCCTTCCTTTTCGCCGCGGGCTCGGAGAAGGTCAGCGTCAAGTGTGATTCGCTTCGCGATAGATCCAATCCAATCCAATCCAATCCTCCCCCTCCTTCTCCAACTCCCACTCCACAGCACTGCCCACCCCCCACCCCCCAGCGGATCCAAGGGGGGGGGGCGATTGCTATCCCATCGAGAGTAGGCTTTCGGAGGTCCGCGCCGAGATCTTTCGTCGGCGCTGTGCGCCCCTCCTTGGCGCGCGGAGCGCGGCGCCGAAAGCGCCGCCAGGGTGGCCCAGGACTGATCCAACAAAATCCGCGCGGGCCTCTCATGCTCATGCTTCTTGATCCGAAATACGACCAATGTCTAGAACGCTCGTATGTATTACTATGCTTGCGAGTATGGCAAGCACTGGTGCTGTAATGACATGACAAATTTTCGCATGAACTTGAACATCCGTGCTCTGTGTGCCCGCGTTGCAACTATGGTAGCTGTTGTTCTTACTCGGGATGTCAAGACAGCGTATCCCCATGCACAAATTAAACTGCATCGTTGGTTCTAGCATGCTCATTTGTATTACCAATTTTCTGCGTATTGATCAATCTCTTCAACCGTACACGTCGGTCGGAAAAAGTAGGTGAACACATAAAGCAAACAGGCGGATAAAACAGATTGGGCCCAGGCCCTCCTGGAGAATAACAACACTTAGCAAAAGCAGACAGAATCTTGAAGTAGGAAGGTGCTTGAAGTAGACTGGGATCTGGGAGCTCAAAAATGCCTACATTCAACGACCAGCGTTTACTTCCACAATTAAGCGTGCCTCAGGGTTCACTCCTTGTCTGTGAAAGCTGGTGGGTGCGGCGGGCAAATGGCGCCGGCGGCCCTCGGGGATTCCCTGGCCGCGTTTCCTTACGAGGGTGTCCCTCGGGGGGTCCCTGGTCTGGATCCCTACATGGTCCTGTTTCTATACGAGGCCTTGCCTTGCCAAGGGGGCCTTGGTCGTGGCTCCTCGGTTCCTTGCTTCCGTGGTCTTGGTCCCTCGGTTCCTCGGTCTTTGGATACTTGGTCGTGGCTCCTTGGTTCCTTGGTTCCGTGGTCCTTGGTCCCTTGGATCCTCGTTCATTGGCTCCTTGGTCTTGGCTCCTTGCTTCCTTGGTCCCAGTTCCCTCGGATCCTCGTTCCTTGGTTCCTTGGTCGTGCCGCCTTGGTTCCTTGGAGTTCCTCGGCCCCTCGGTCTTGGCCCCTCGGTTCCTCCGATCATTCCTTCGCGGTTCCTTGGATCTGTTTCATTGCAAGTCTTAGGTCGAGCGTGGCGCCCTACAGGCGGATGCTGGACGAGAAATAACAAGTAATCGAAACATGCTCGGGCATAGCAAAACAAGTCCCCAGACTATTGTCTGATTGTTTTTTTCATATATTCCTCCTGTAGAGGGACAGGCCCGAATTAATGCAAGTCGGGGATCTACTGACCTGGGGCAATCCAGACCCGGGTCAGTCAGGCATGCAGGATCCTGCAATCTCCTGCAAGATCCTGCACCCAAGCCCGGGTCCGTGCGACCCCGGCCCTCCAGGATCACGCAAGCCCCGAACACGGGCGTCGCGGCTTGCGCTGGCGGCCTGCGAATTCAGTGGTCTCGTTCCCTTACATGTGCGCACAACGTTCCTCGAATTGCTAGGTCAGTTGCCTCTTGTATTCCCCAGGATGCTTGGTCTTGTCTTCCTTTCTGCAATCGTCGGGTTGCTATGGCAAGCGCGACCAAACAACGAAAAGCAAAGCCAAGCAACGACAAGAACGCAAAGCGGTCCCAAGCCACGCCAAGCAGTGTAACCATGCAGTAGGAAACTGTCCCTCATCATTGGGGTTGCGCCAGGTTCAAATTCATGTCATGACAGGTTCAATTTGTATATATACAGAGAAAGAGAGAGTGACCCTGATATCAGACGTAGCGATACAACAACATGTTTTGGTCGGCGGGTCGAGAGCGGGCCTCTTCCGGTCAAGAGCCAGGCGGGGCGCGCGAAGCACACATTGGGGAGACAGGGCGCGGGCGGGCGGGGCCTCAGGCTGTCGGAGGGTGCGGAGTACAGGCGGTGCCGAAGAGCTTGCAGAGGAAAAGGTACGCCGTGGACAGGAGCGATCAAAAAACCCGATCCCCAGACCACGTCTTTGTGCGCCATGTCTCGAGCCGGACCGATCCGTGAGGGCCCCCAGGGCCCGCAGAGCGGGCGAAACCGCCCGGCTCAACAGAAACGAGACGCCAGGATCTGAGGAGAGAGAGAGAGAGAGAGAGCGAGCGCCTGAATGTCGCCTCCGAGAAGCAGGGCAGCCCGCCCCCGGTCCAGATCACCTGTAGACCAGAAAACAAACGACACCACCACACCTAATTACGTCCCCAGGGGGTTTAGCGCATACCAAGACATGTGGCCTGGGTTGCTGGAGGTATACGCTACGGCGCCCGATGGGCCGTGGCAAAAACATAGAAGGGCCGTAGGTGGGGTGGTGTCGTTTGCTTTTGGGTCGAACCTGCTCGGGGATCCTCGGACAAGGGTCAACACAAACCCGGGCCAGTCAGGCACTGCAGGCGACCCTGGCCCTGCAGGATCCTGTAAGATCTGGCACTCTGACTGACCCCCGTTCGCATGGACCCCAATCGGCCGTGGACAAACGTCCTTATAAACCTCCCCTTAGTGAAAACGGCCTGGGGCCGAAACCGACCGACCTGGACCCGCAAAGGTGACGGCCGCGACGCCCTCTCGCGAACCGAAAACGGCCAATTCCTTAATCGACGCGTCAGGGTAGGAGGTCTGTCCACCCCCGACCCAATCTCTGAGCCCCGACCTGCGCCGCGTACATCGGCTCTGGCACGACGCTGAGCCCCGCCTGCGCGGCCGTGCGGAACCACACCTCCTCGGCGGTGCGGGTGCCGCTCAGCCGCTCCTCGGTCGGGGGGCGCCCGCCACACACCCCCGCCGACCCTGGCCAGGCCCACCCATGCTTGATGGGCAAACGTTCCAGCACCACTACCATATGTATATAGGACGGGGGAGAAGGGAGGGTGAGGACGTCCTCCTCCTCCTCCTCCTCCTCCTCCACCTCCTTCTCCTCCTCCTCCTACCTATGGTAGTGGTAACGGAAATGAGCCCATCAATGTTGACTTCGGTGGCAACTCGTGGGAGCCTCCCATCCATCTTGGCGGCTCTTCTTGCAATTCGACGCTAATCAACGCTGAATCGACGCTCGTCGACGCTGGCCGACGATAAATCGGCGCTGTCTCATCGACTCCGGGACTTCAGGGCTAATCGACGCTATTCGACGCTAAAGACGGAATCAATGCCCAAACATATTCAAAACATAGCCTCCCGACTATTTTTCTACTATTTTTGAATATTCCTCCTGTAGAGGGACATGCCGCACTTAAGTGTACCACCAGACCCATGATCTGCTACCGAAATAGAACAACACAGAGCAACACAACACGACACAAACACAATGCCTCTGAGGTCCGCGCTTGGCTTAATTGGATCGGCGCTGGCCCCCGCCCCTTTGGAGCGAGCGACGCCCCAGGGGGCCCCAGCGCAGATCCAAAAAGTCCGCACGGACCCTCGCGACATCATGTTCCATGCCAAGAGGGCTTATGATGGGCGCATGTTCCACCACCACTACCATAAGCCAGAGAGGGAGCGAGGGAGGAGGAGGAGGAGGAGGAGGAGGAGGAGGAGGAGGAGGAGGAGGAGGAGGAGGACCTCCTCATCCTCCCTTGCCCGCCGTTCTACATGTGGTAGTGGTCATGGACAAATTGCCCATCATACTTGCTTTTTCGACCCTGGGCCCAGGATCGGACGCCCACCACTGGCGTGGCGAGGAAGGCGCAACTGAGGAGAAGGAGGGAGGAGCAGGGAGGAGGAGGTGGAGGAAGAGTGTGAGGAGGAGGGAGGAGGGAGGGGGGGGAGGAGGGGGCCCCCGAGCGGCGTGGCGACAACACCGCGTGGCGAGCCGCTAGGGCTGCGGGGTCACCGCACGGCCTCGGGGTTCGGGCCGATCTCCGGGGATGGCTCGGGCGACTGGGGCACCCGAGGTCCCGAGAGCGCGCGGCGACGGACCGCGCGGGGAGGTCCCCTGGGAACTTCGAGGTCACCGCTCCTCGCTCCTCGTCGCTCCTCCTCCTCCTCCTCCTCCTCCTCCTCCTCCTCCTCCTCCTCGATCCTCCTCCTCCTCCTCGCTCCCCCTCCTCCTCCTCCTCTTCTTCCTCGTTCCTCGCTCTTCGCTCCTCCTCCTCGTTCCTCGCTCCTCCTCCTCCTCCTACTCCTCCTGCTCCTCCTACTCCTCCTGCTCCTCCTCCTCATCCTCCTCGCAGGGTCTGTCATGAAACGCGCTTTGGTGACGAGGTGAAGGGGGTCTTACGCGAGACGGCATGGTGACCTTACATGGTGGCCCGCGCGGGCCGCCAGCGCGGCACGCCACACTGGAAACAAGGGACCTTACACGCGACCTCGCTAGACGAAAATCTGCATAAACACACGACATGTCACCGCCTGGGCCCCACCGCCAGGCCAAACGGCGAACATACATCGGGCGTAGCACCGCACGCATTCAAATGCCCAGACTTCGTCCTCGAACTATTCGTATTCCTCCCCGTCCTCGTCCACATCCTGATCGTCGTCGTCGTCCTCCTCCTCCTCGTCCTCCTCATCCTCCTCTGCTTCCTCTCCCTCCAGCTCCTCCTCGTCATCCTCGTCATCCTCGTCATCCTCGTCTAAGACCTCGTCCACGTTTCTCTTCTTCCTGCTTCTGCTCATCCTCCTTCTCCTGGCAAAGGTCTTTCGACGTGACGTGGGCGTGAGAACAACGCGGAGCGCGTGAATTCAGTTTTGGGTGCACTTCGCACAGATACTTGAAATATCGGCCGTGGCAACTGCCACCAATGACGCCAAGCGCTGAAAACTGCAATGGTGCAGTTGTATGCTGGTGGGAGATGCAACATGTCGCGGATGCAACATGCATGACCCCAATCGTTCTTCTCCAGGGTAGGCGGCAGGGGACACAAGTTGTGCCCGACGTTACGCCATAGGCTGCGCCCCCGGAACATGATAAGAAAACCGTTTCCTATCGGTTGCGCCATACATGCGCCCCCGGCGGCTGGGAATAGACCTTCTCCTGTCGGCTGCGCCATAGGTTGCGCCCTCAGCGGCCAATGGTAAAACCGTTCCCAATCGGTTGCGCCATGGGTTGCGCCCTCGGCGGCTGAGAATAAAACGAAATATCATGCCCGTTGCGCCATAGAGTGCGCCCTCGGCGGCTGAGAAGCCGTCTCCGATCGGTTGCGCCGTAGTTTGCGCCCTCGGCGGCCAAGAATAAAACCGTCGCCGATCGGCTGCGCCATAGGTCGCGCCCTCGGAGGCCGAGAGTATTTTTTCCTCCAGCAGCATGGCGCGCAGCACACCAAGATCCGTTGCCTGCCGCTCCACCCACCCAAGCGGCGCGTTCGTCGCCACTGGAGGCCCGCAAACGGCGGCCGCAAACGGGCGAGGGGCACGGGGAAGCAGGCGCCCGCGCAGGCAACCAAAATGGGTGCAGCCTGCGCGGGCCGAAAGCGCTCACGGCAAAATGTCCGAGCGCGGCAAAGAAGGCGCCCGCGCAGGCAGCCAGGACAAGTGCGGCGCTGCGCGGGTGATCGCGTCCTGGGCAGTGGCTTGCCTGTCCGCGGATCGAGACTTCTCTTGAGATTGTCCGCCTTCCTGTCTCTCTCTCTTTCTCTCTTTCTCTATCTCTCTCTCTCTCTCACTCAGCTTTGGCCGAAGCCTTCTTCGCCTTCTGACGCCTCGCCGCAAGGCCCTCGTGCTTGCCCTTGACCTCCTTGGCGCGCAGGCTGCGCCGCCAGCAGATCCTGCGCCCGTGGAAGGTTCTCAGCTCGTGCCCGTTAGGGTCCTCCTCGTCCGCGTCGCCTGAGCCTCGCACCTCAGGCTCTGGCGGCCTCGGCTTCGACTCATGCTGGGTCGCGGCCTCGCTGGCGCCGCCCTGCGACGAGGACGCCGCCCCCGTAGACGCATGCGCCAGGCCAGCCAGCGCCAGCGCTGCAGAGGCAGGGCGCTTGCGGGCCCCGCTGGCGCCAGCAGCGTCGGGCGCGAATGGCTCGGCGTGGCAGCGCCCCGCGTGGAATTGCTTGATGCCCGCGTCCGTGAACGCCGACCGCAGGCATCGGCGACAATGAATACCGCCTGGGACCTCGACGCTGTCGTGCTGCACGATGTGCAGCTTGGGCCCCATGGTAGAGGGCTCCACGTAGTCGCGCGCGAAGTCGCTGCGCAGTTCTGCCGCCTCCGCGCCAGCGATCGCGACACAGTAAACCGTGGCGTCACGAATGGGCCCCCTGGTTCGCCTGGCCTGCCTGTAGGCGACTGGCGCTCTGAACTGGTCCGCGACGAACATCATCACCTGTCAGCACCGTGGTTGCCACGCCTCCTGCGCGCGGCAAGCTTGCCAGCTTCGACGCCCAGAGCGCCGCGGCCTTTGACCTTAACGATGGTGGGCCCAGTCGCTCCGACGCCGCCATAATCGTCCAGCGCAATCCAGATTCGCCTCCTGACCTCCGCCCAGGCCGCCTTGTGGGGAATGGTGGCAGCCCCCCCTCGCTCCAGCAGCCCGTCGGCCACGTAGGAGGCGTCGAAGTGGGCGCGAATGGGCGCGACCAGGTGCCTCAGGATGGCCAGCAGCGCCAGCAGCTCGGCGCCCTCGATAGTCTGCAGCGGCCCTCGCAACGGTGCCCGCGAGGCCCTGGCGGGCGAGCGGGGGCCAGGGTCGGCCCCCTCGTCGCCAGGTGGAAGCTCCACGGCTGCGCGCGCCGACATGGCCATCGAAATGCCCGCCACGTAGCAGCAGCCGTCCGCGAAGACCTCTGTGTTCATGAAGAGCATGTGGTCGCCCTTGATCCACTGCAACCCGCCCAGGAAGTCATCCAGCGGCGGTCTCCGCATCACCTGCGGCTCTGGCAGCAGCAGGCGCTCAACCATGGTGGAGATGGCGATGTTGGTCTGGAAAGCCTTGAACTTCTCCGGCACGGCTTGCAGGGCTGCGCTGGGCCAGCTGCTCGTTCTTTTCAAATGTCGATGTCAGAACGTGCCCTCAACATCAGGATGGCGCTTGCAATGCGGTGTCGGCGCGAGGCGAGGGGGGCGCCGTACCTCCGCGAATTGAGCCACTGTCCTTTGGTTAACGCAGGCCTGGCGTATCCTCGCTGGGCCTCCGTGAGCGGCCCCCACTTCTTGCCCTCGAGCGAAGTGCCCTTGCCGCGGTGGACCCAGCGTCTGATCTGGTCGACGAAAGCCCCGCGCTTGATATCCTCGTGGGTATCCTTGGCCAAGTGCTGGAGCTGCCAGCGCTGAATGCCGAGCAAGCACCTGCTTGATGCACCACGGCGTCACGTTGCCGACATTCAGACACCCGCTGCCGCCAGGCCTGACCCACAGCTCGAATTCGCGCAGCGTGTAGCCGAATCGCTTCAGCGAGAGCACGGCCGTCCCAATGGGACCATTCGCCTGGCCCCACCAGGCGATGTCCTTGGCGCGGTTGAAGGCAGCCCCCCCCCCCCCCCGAATGGCCATGGCCAAAATGCCGACGGGTTGGAGCGTAGCGCCGTGGGGTCTATCTCCTTCGGGCCCCCTATCATGAGGCAGGGGGTAGTCGACTCGCCCTGCGGCCGAGCCTCGACCGCCTTGACAATCGAGGACCTCGTCTGCTTCAGCTCGAGGTCCGACAACTCCGTGTAGGACGCCCCGTGCACGATGCTCGGCATGAGCCCTGCGCGCGCCACCTCAAGGCCTGCCGTCCTCTACGAAGCCCCAAGGGTCGTCGAAGACGTGGCAGCCTGGCCTTGGCGTGCTTCAGTCTGTCCTTCCTACTTGCGCGTTGCGTTTGCCAGCCTCCGCGCGGTCCGCGCCCAGGTTCCGCGCGCGCGCCCAGCCCCTTGCACTCCGGCGCTTTGGAGCCGCTTCCTGAGCTTTGCGTTCGAGGCCAGAACCCTCGACTTCTTGGCGGCGACCTTCAGCTTCATCCTCTTGGGCGCCTTGACCAGCGCCATGGCGCCAGCGGCGAGGCCCTCGGCGGCCCTTTCGCTGCCGCCCCAGCGCTGCAACGCCAAATCTTTGACCGCCACCGCCGGGGTGACCGCCGCGTGCTCGGCGCGCATCTCGTCGAGCGGCTGAATCACATGAGCCACATGAGCGCCATGGCGAAGGCGACGCCCGCGAGCGCCGCATGGAGCGCGCGCAGCTCATCGGAGCAGCACCCTTCCAAGCAGATGGCCCTAGGCACCCTGTAGAGGCTGACTTGCAGCTTGGCAAGCCATAGGGAGAGTTGTATTTCAGGCGAGCCCCGATGAGCCCGCGATGGAAGATCTGCTCGAAAACCTTCCACAGGTCCAGAAAGATCGTCGCGGATCCCCAGTCGTGTCGCGCCGCTGGTGCATCACGCCCGTCACGTGCACCCACTCCGCTCTGGCCTGTTGTTACCGCGCGGCCCTGTCGCAGCTGCGCCCAGGGCTGGCCCGCCAGTAGCCCCCGCGGCACTCCGCCCCCCATCAGTTCGCTGCTCCGCGGCGAAGCCGGCAATGTATGCGGACCAGCGCGCTGAGCTACGCGATGGGTCGAAGCCCTCCAACCGTCTTGGGGACGAAGGCGAGCTCGGTGGCAAAGTTGGGCCACTCGCAGCGCTTCTCGATCCCGGCCAGAAGGTCGATCAGCCCATCGACGCTTTCGTCGCCGGGCACCTGCAGCTCTCGATGGGCGCGGCGAGTGGAAAGGAGAACCTGTCGCCTCCTTGAAGCTGCCGATGACCTCCCGGACCTCCTCTGCCGATGGGCGGGGCGGCCTCTCGCCCAGCTCGGCTGGCCAGACCAAGTCCTCGTGCTTCGTGGCGTTGCCGTTGGGCCCGGAGCCTCCGCGCCACCGTGCACTGCCTATTCCTTCACTGAGGCTTTGACGGTCTCCCGAAGCGAAGGGAGAGAGCCGCCGAGGGTCGAGCCCTGGGGCCGAGTGGCCCAGCCTTGCGAGGGCTTGGTGAGGGCGCGTAGGCTAGGGCCCTTGTGCCTCTGGAGCGGTTGTCGAACACCCAGTCGCTGCAATCTTCCCCCCCGCGATTGACTTCGCCCTGGACTTCTGCGTCGGCAGCCTCCGACACGCAGGCGCTGGCCGCACGCGGGGGGGCAGGCCCAGGCGCCTGGCGTGGGCGGCGAGAAGGCTGACCTGCTGTGCGCGCTGCTCCCGCCCTTGAAAGGCGTCGCTGGCCAAGTAGCCGCGCTGCGCGCTGAGCCTCTCGATGGCATTGAGGGCCCGCTGCCGCCGAAGCGCGAGCTCCATCTGCGCGATGTCCATGAGGGCTAGCGCCAGGCTCTTCAGCCACGCGGCGCCAGCGCTGACTCGCAGCAGCCTCGGCGGGCCCGGCATCGCTACCTTCGCCATCTTGAGGCGCGGCCTGATGGCGCGCCCCGAGAATAGCTCAAACTCGCGAGAGAGGCCGAGTGCATCAGCAATGTTCCACTCCGCCTGGTAGACGAACATATCCCACTTACCTTCGACGGGGCGGGCGGCCCCCATGGCATCTCGTCGCAATCCACACTGCGACGTGCTCGGTAGCGCAGCGCGCCCGAGGCGCAGAGAAAGTGGCAGCCCATGACCTGCGTGCGCTGCTCAATGGCGCTGCCGTCGATCTCGAGCCCGACAGGGAAGCGCGGGGCGACGCCCCAGCCAGGCAAGACCTTCGCTCAGGCCTGCCCGAAGCACTCGCTGATCAACCAAAAATCGATAATGCGCACCCCCCCCCCCCACGCACCCACGGCGGCATGAACCCTCTTCTGGCGCCGCCACCCTCAGGCTGAGCGGGTCCAAGATGCCCGACTGGGCCAGCTACTGCGGCTCCATGTTGAAGTCGCCTCCGATCACGGCGGGCCTGCCAAGCATCTTGACCGCCCCGTGGACTGCCTTCAGGATCTGCAGGTTGAACTCGGACACGCCCTCGTTCATCCGAAGGTAGATGCTGGCCCACGCGACCCCGCCACGGGCCACTCCCGCGAAGTGCCCCACGCTGGCGCGGAGTGACTCCGCCAGGGGCCACCACCTGGGAAGATGCTGAAGTCGTTGGGCGGCTCGAAGACCCCGGCCCCGTGCACGCGGGGGGCGAGCTGAAACAGCCCACCGTGCCCTGACCGCCCTTGCGCGGTCCCGACCGCGGCGCTGGTCGCAGCTCACCAGCCGTCGCGCTTGAGCTTGTCGGAGACCCCCTTTGCAGCGCTCCTCGCTGAGGTGGGTCTCCTGCGCGTTGATGATGTCCATGGGCCATGAACGCGTCGAAGGCCTCCTCCGAGGACGGCTCCTTGGCACCATCGTCGCATATCCTGCAGCTTCAGCATATCCTCCGTGGGCCCCTCCTCCTCCAGGGTCGCGTGCTGGGGCTCCTTCGCATCCGACCGCTGCTGCAGCCTGCGCGGGCTGCGCGGTGGCCTTGGCGTCGGAGTCCAGCTTGTCGACCGCAGTGAAGATGGCCTCGACGACATCGGCGGCTGAAAGGTTGTCGACCGCCAGCGAACCCATGGCGTCTTTGAGCTTCTTGCCATCAATGCCACCTGGGTCTTGCCTGACACCGAAGAGCTTGGCTGCCTCCTGCTTCGCCGTCTCCAGCTCCTTCTCCAGCTTAGTGACCTCGTCCTCCTGCTCGGGGATGGCTACCAGCAAATTGACGCCCTCTGCTTGTTGGCTGCGAGCTTGTCGCGTGCTGTCTGCAGCGCCCTGGCAGCCTTGTCCACGGCATGCGGGGCTTCGCGACCAGCAGGTCCAAGCACACCAAAAGCAGCAGCACGTCTGGCATAGTCCACCTTGCCGCGCGATGAATGCGAGAGTGCCCCTTTCGTCTTCTCGTACGTCTCGCTCGGGAAATTGGCCCAGGTCTGGATCTCCTCCGCAGCGAGTGTGGCCCGAGCTTCCTTCCGCGCTGCCACGGTTCTTTAGCCCAGTTGCTGTCGGCTCCTTTCCGCCCACCGACGTGCCAAGGCTGGCGAGGCGCTCGATGATGTCCGCAACCTCCGCATGACTTGCGCCCCTTGGTATTGTACTCGCCGCAACCGCATTCCCAGTATCCTGCCATGGCCGAGACCAGAACACTATCCACGCGAGAAGCAATAACGCGAGTGAGCTGAGCTTGTGAGGCCCAACGAAAATTTTCGGGACGACCGGCGGACTAGCGGTATCCGTTTCCTTCCCAGGGGAAGGCATCGCCTTGAGCCAAATTGGTTACAGAAACGGTGGCCGAGAATAAAACCGTCTCCTCCGATCGGTTGCGCCACAGGTTGCGCCCTCGTCGGCTGAGAGCAAAACCGTCTCCTATCGGTTGCGCCGTAGGCTGCGCCTTCGGCGGCCAACAATAAAACCGTCGCCGATCGGTTGCGCCATAGGTCCCGCCGTCGGCGGCCGAGAATAGAACCGTCTCCCATCGGTTGCGCCATAGGTTGCGCCCTCGGCGGCCGAGAATAAAGCCGTCTCCTATCGGTTGCGCCATAAGTTGCGCCCTCGTCGGCTGAGAATAAAACCGTCTCCTTTCGGTTGCGCCATAGGTTGCGCCCTCGGCGGCCGAGGATAAAAACATTTCCTATTGGTTGCGACCTAACGCCCTTGGGGGCCGAAAATAAAACCGTCGCATAACGGGTGCGACCAGTCAGTTCAGCTCATTCAGTTCACTTGTTCAGTTCAGCTCAGTTCAGATAAATCAGTTTACCTCGCGAGAAACCCATTCGGGCTACGCTCGAAAACATTCACGTTTGGCGTTCCGCGCGCATTGATTGGGTCTGCACTGGACACCCTTTCATGGCGCGCTCCGCGCGCTAGGGGGGCCTAGCGCGGATCCAAGAAATCCGCGCGGAGCTCCAAAAGTTTATGTCTTTGGTGATTTTTCGTCTTCGACCTTACGCGGGAAGCTGGCGCGCCAACGACAAATGGCGAAGCCCCAGACACAGGCACCCAGGACCGGCCTGGCTGGTGCCCCGTGCGTGCACGCGCACTGATTCACCAAAAAAGAACTCCTAATCCTTTGCGAGGGGACCTAAGTTGGGAAGGCCAGACACATCAGGGAGAGGGGCTCTTCTCTGCAGATGTAGCGAACCAAACCGCCCAGGTGTATCCTCCCTGGTGCGAAGACGAGAACCTCAGGGAGGCCACGTCTTCACCGTGTTATCAGGGCTTGGGGTTCTTCTTTCGGTCTCGATGACGCTTCCACGCCTCGCCCCGCTCCTCGCCCCGCTTCCACGCCTCGTGGACACCCAGCAGCACCTCGGCAGCCTCGCGGCCCATGACCACCGCCTTGTCTTAGGTCGGGCATGTCCTCCTACAGGCAGATTTTGGGTGAAAATCAAAAAGGCTCAACAAATACTCAACACATCTTTAGACTAAAAGAAAAAACGTCCCCGGACAATTTTGGGACCATTCTTGTATATTCCTCTGGTGCAGGGCCAGGCCCGACTTAAGCCTTGTCGCTGATGCCGGTCACGTCGAGGCACGGCGTGGTGGACACCCGCTGGGACTCGAGCTGGAAGCCCTCGGCGTCCACCAGGAAGGGGGCCAGGAAGTAGGTGTCAGAGCGGGTGACCATGACAGCGTCGTACTGGTCGTACTGGTCCGCAAGCTCGCTCCCCGCCTCCTCCTGCGGGGAGATAGGCAGATACGGCAGGTCCGTGTCGTGCTGACCTCGGCGCTAGTTCCTGACACCGCGGGCATCGATCAATCTTGAACGATCGGCACTTTCCGCATCGTCCGATCGGTCCACATCGACCGATTCTTGGTCGCTGGCGGCGGGGTCGCCGGCGGCGGGGTCGCCGGTCGACGTGACGCGCACCTACCGTACCGCTGATCGTGCAGCGCCACGCTTCCAAGGCGAGCCTGGCCGTGGGCCGTGGCGCCGAAGGCCCCCGAGACGCCGAGAGAACGGTCTCGGCATCGGCAGGTTACGAGAGAGCGGCGCGCAGACACCGCCGGGATCGGCGCGGGGGTTACCGAGAGCATTGGTCTTCATGCGGTTTCGTAGGTTTTCTGACTTTCCTGTGTGCTCTGAAAGTCCTAGGAGGTTCTCTCGCCTGGGGATGCTTTCCAGCAGCTGCGCCTCGTCCAGGGGTTCCGGGGATGCCCAGATCGTCCCGAACGGCAGCGGGGGCCGCGAGTTGTGGGCCCAAAAACCACGGAGATCGGCGCGGGGGTTACTAAGATGATCGGGGGGGGCAGTGGATGTCAAAGCGAGGGCTCGATCTGGCTTAGCCTTGCGTATCAGAGGGTTCAATCTGCCCCAAGTGGCTGTGGGGTCAAGATAACTCCGCTAAGCGGGCGGTGCCCAGCCCGGATCGCAAACCACGTGGGCCATTTGTAACCAACATCTAAGCTAGGTCAGGCCAGATACAACCCACTTCGGCACCCACGAATAATCCCCAAACCTCTGAGCTCTCCCCGCGCCGATCCCACCGTACCATGCGTGGACACTCCATTTAGGAGCTCCGACGCAGTACGCTGCACAGTCTCGCACCTCGGTTGCGACAGCGAAAAATTGTGCACCGCCCCGCTCCTGAGCAGAGTGTTTTCACGAAATGTTGGGTGACGCCAACGCCGACGACGACGACGACGGCGCGATCAGGTCATCCGCGGACATCGGCTCTGTTCTGGCATCCTCCGTTTGTTCATCCTTCGGCCCCACAATAGGTCCCGACACACTCCGGGGGGTAATTCTTCCGCCCCGGATCCGCTTTGATTGCCCTGTCGCCTGGTAACAGGCCCCAGAGGCCGAAATGAATAGCAACGGCTGGATTGCAGGGGAACACAGAACAAGGATACGGCTACTCCCTGGACCTCTCCAGGCGCGATTTCCGTCCAGCATCCCGAAGCGAATCAAGCCGTAGCGGCGAAGGGAGGAACAGCGGCATTCTCATTTGAGGATGTCTTCGCGGCAACTCATGGGAGCCCCCCAGTCCATGTAGCTGGCTCTTGCGAGTCGACGCCAAGTCGACGCTGTTCGACACAAGTCGACTCTAAACAACGCTACATCGGCGCTTTCTCATCGAATGCCAGACGCCATCGCACGCTAGCGCACGCTAGCGCTAGCGATGACACACAAGGTTCCGATAATTTTCGGCCGAAGCCCGGGAGGAAGCAAAAAAGGCGGGCATTTTCAGAAAACCGATGTCCCTGACCATGTTCCGTGTCAGCTACTGGCTAATAAAAGCAAGCGGGCCGCGTGATCAAACGAATGGCTTCCGACTCAGACGGGCGAATTGGGGGGGACGTCCGCCAAATGGAAACACTCGGCGCGGCACCAGGGATGAGCGCCGACGAACGGCCGAGAGCTGGAAAGCGAAAGGCGCGACGCAATCGGCGCGCGCCGCTCCACCAGAGGGGCACAGCAGCACCTCCGCTGTAGCGTGGCTGTCGGGCCAAAATGGCTACGGACAGGAGAGAAAGAGGAGGCGGGGGGGGAGAAGCGCCTCAGCTGGCGGGCGGTGCTGCCATGGCTACGAGCACGAAAGCGCAGAGGCAGCAGCATGGGGGGTGGAACGGCAGAGGCAAGCGGAAGAGTGTCCTGCTTCATCTTCTCCACACGCCCCCCCTCTGTCACACACAACCTCCCCAACAATTTCTCCTACGACAACAACGACGACGACGAATACGACCGCGACCGCGGACGGCGACGCACTGCAGATGCTCCATGGGGTGGGGGGCGCGGGTGCTGTGTATGCCCGGTGTACTCGACGACGACGACGCCGACGCCGACACCGACTACGACGGCGGACGACGACAACGGCGCACTGCGGATGCACTATGGTGGGGATGCTGCGTAGGCCCGCTGTCGTCGTCGACGACGACGACGGACGACGACACACTACGGATGCCCCAGAGGGAGGTGCTGCGTTGCGAGTTCGGCTGCGGTCGTCGACGACGCCGACGCCGACGCCGACGCCGACGCCGACGACTGTGGCGCGTCAGTAATGAGCCCGAAAGCGGGAATACTTCACCTCGGATGTATACGATCCCCAGGCTTTCGGTTTGAGGCTCCCGTGCAGGGGGGGACACGATTCACTCGGCGGCGCCCGCGACGACCCCCTGGCACGAGTGATTGAAAAACGGTTTCGCGCCCCACGGGGTCTATTCATCAGCCTCTGGGGAGGGGGGGCACCATCTACGAATCACAAACTCGCATTAAGTCTTCCCCGAAGACACAGAGAACTTCTCAGAAGCCGCGACGGCTTCTGAGAAACCCCGCCGCCTTCCGAGGAGGCCTCCTCATTCTCGCTTCCCCCCCCCCATCGCTCGCCGCCGAACGACAGAGGGGACGAGGGGGTGTGCTGGCTCAAGGGGGGGGGGGGCTATCGACCTGGAATCGGCAATACGTCGCCGATAGATCACCGATAGCGAATCCACACTTTCCCGCCCAGCGCTCGCCGCCGAGATTTGCCGCCGAACCAAGAGAGCGCCACCAGGGGGGCCCAGGCGCCGATCCAAGGGACCCGCGCGGAGATCCAAAAGTTGATGTACATGTTTTTCTTTCGTCGAAGAGCTCCTCCAGGCGCACTGAGGCCCCCGGGTGAGCCGCCAAAATCCTGGTCGCGCTCATCAAAAAGCGTCGGCGAATCCGACGCTCGAATCTTACTGGCGAAGCCAAACGGCACCGATACCGCTACTCCCTGGACCTCTCCCGGGGTGCGTTCTGACCAGAATTTCGAGGCGAATCCAGCGGTGGCGACGAGGGCCTCCGAGGAGGCCCAGAGAGCGGAAAACGAGGAAAGGGTAGAGGTACGCGTACATACGCCCTCTCTGGCTTACCTTTCCCCGACTGAGCTCCTCCAGGCGCACAGCGGCCCACAGGTGAGCCTGCGAGCGCCACCGCCTCACGGCCTCCTTTAGGGGAACGAAAACTGGCATAACCTTCAAAGCTCGGAGATCCGCGCGGATTTCTCGGATCGGAGCTGGACCCCCTTCTCTGGCGCGCGGAGCGCGCCAGGGGCGGCGCTGGAGGCGTCGCTGGGGGCCCCAGCGCGGATCAGAGAAATCCGCGCGGACCTCCGAGTTTGTATGTGTATGTCTTCATGTGTATTGTCTTTAGATCATTATTTTGAGCAGGGACCGACCGTCCCGGCATTCCTGTAGGCCTACCACGACATGCTCTTAGAACCCAAAAGTGTTCAAATAACAAAGACAATGTTCTGAGAACATAAGCCCGATGTGCTAGAACAAGACGGTCCCAGCCAGAACTGTTCTAAGAACACTTCGTCGTGGAGACCACCAAAAAAGGTTCGTAGAACTCTCCTCCGTGGGCCTGTAGACGTGCCAGGACGCTTCGCCACTGCTTGACCATCCTGGCCCGAGGCGCTGCCGGCCGGCTGCTGCACCATGATGCTGCGCTGGGCCGCGCCCACGGGCGCCGCCTCGTCGGACGGGGCCATCCAGCTGCACTTGGTCGCGCCCTCCTGCCGTCGTCGGCGCGCGCGGGGGGAAGCGAGAAGGAGGAGGCCTCCTATGGGGCCCCTATCGGGCCCGATGTCGCCCCTATCGGCGATCCATCGGGCCCCTATCCGGCGATCGATGGGCGATTCAGGGTCGATGCATCCTCCCCGATGCCTATCCCCTCCCATCGTGGCACCCGGACCGGGCGCAGACCCTGAGTTGGCGGCGAGCACCGGGGGGGAAGTGAGAAGGAGAAGGCCTTCTCAGGAGTAGGGAATCGACTACAGGACCGATTTATCCCAGAACTGGTTCTCCCCCTCGGATCCACGAGCAGTACGTAGAATGCTTCCTAGATCTGCAAAAGCATGATGCGTAGCTTGTCGTAGACTCGACGAGCTCGAATCCACTTCGGGATACATCGATTCTGTCGTCGATCCCCTCCTCGAGAGAAGGAGAAGGCCATCCCAGAAGGCTCGGAAGACCCCCCAGCCTTGCAATTTGTTCGAAGCCGCCCCCGAAGACGCAGACAACTTCTCAGACGACGCAGACAACTTCCCAGAGGTCCACGGGGAGGCGCCGATACCGCTGCTCCGCGGGCCTCTGCCAGGGCACGTTCTGACCAGGATTTCGGGGCAAATCCAGCGATGGCGACGGGGGCCTCCCACGAGGCCCCCAAAAGGCAAAACAACGAGGCAGGGGTAGCGGTATGGCGCAAAGTAATGGGGGGCGAGATAGTCGGGGGCGGGGGGCAGCGAAGGCTCCAGAAAAGGGGCCCCCCTGGGGTCCGCAAGAGGGCCTTCAGGGCCCCACGAGGGCACCTTCCTGGGATCCCCCCCCCAATCCCCCTAAGTAACTCGCGCTCAATCCTCCATGAGTCCATGGCCTCCAGGTCAGGAGACATCTACTGGGAGGTCCTCGTCGGAAAGAGCACGGAGGATTGAGCCCCACTTGGGAGCCATTACGCCGGAGTGGGCCTGGGATTAAGCGGGAGCAAGCAGGATTAAGCCGGACTTCGGACCGGTGCAGAATCAGAACTTGACCTCCCAGGAGTTGCATCCCAATCCGGGGGTCCACGTCGTGGCAGAGCAATCGCGTCGGGGGTCCGGGGAGGGGGGCGGCGCGAGGGGGGCCGACACGGGCCGGCCTGCCGAGAAGCCCTGGGCGGGCTGCCTCGGAGGCAGGGGTGCCCGCTCCGAGGCCCTCCCAGCATCCGAAAGGGCTTCTGTCGAGTAGGGGA